TGATTGGAAAAATAATCTGTCTCGAAATTCAACCAGAAAGGGCAGAGAAACATTGCTTTTTAGGACAAGTTACAAATGTAGACTATTGAATGTCAAGAGCCGAATACTCACCCTAGAAAAGAGTGTGTTGAGACAGTGGACCTTTTGTCTTTCAGTCACATAAGCGTAGTACTGAGTGATGCCCTTCAAGGTCAGTTCCTCCATCAGGTTGATCTCATAAGGCTTCGACAGGTGCTTGCTCTGTAAACAACATTCATAGTGTGTTATGAAACCAAACGCTTTATTTTAAACATCTTTGGAGGACGGCATTGCTTCAGTGAGTCCTCACCATGAATTTTTGCACACTGATGGGGAACGTGGCAGAGTAAAGCAAGATCTGACGGTCCTTTGGCATGAAGCTGATGATATCTTCAATCAGGACCACAAAGTCCTGGGACAGCAGCTTATCTGCCTGAAGAAAGAAATATGAAATAATGAATGAAGAGGACCCGTTTATAAAACACAGTAAACAATATGGAAAAGCAAAACAATTCATTAAAGAGCCAAACCTACCTCATCCATCACAATCAGTTGGGCTCTGTCCATTTTTGCCACACCCTTCTTGATCAGGTCGAGGATCCTGCCTGGTGTAGCAATCACTACATGCACTATAGGGATATAGCAGAAATTGATTAGCAACAAAACTGAAGCCGGGGTGATTTTGTTGTTGTAATCATCAGGCACAAATGTGTGACAAGATAAACAAAACAAAAAAATCAATAAACCGTATTTAATGTATAGACTTGTATTTTATTATACATGTTGCATTGCTGGAGGAGCTCAGGTCAGAAGAATTTCATTGCCATTTCTACATTGTAGCTTACGTGCATATGACAATAAAACCTTTGAATCTCCTTTATTGAAAACGTTTATTTCCTTATCTTGAATATTAACGGCACAACCAATACCTGTCTCATCAAGACGCATGATGTCGTCCCTCAGGTTGGTGCCACCCGTGGTCGCCATCACCTTGACACCACCGAGGTGCTTGCTGAGCTGGATGCTGATCTGGCTCATCTGAAGGGCCAGCTCTCTTGTTGGCACCATTACTATGGCTGGATTGAGACAAAAATGGGAAGGGCTGATGAAATGCCAGGGTTGAGACGCATAGAGAATATTAAATAGAGTGGCATCAACCCAACAAAGAGGTATTTATAGTTTCCGATCAACAGTTATTTCCCCCGAAACTGAAATAAATTCTAATTTGGGAGAAAATAACAGGGGTCATGGCCATGTCTATATGCTGGAGAGATTGTGGATACAAAAAAAATCTATTTGGTTCAAATATACTTTATTCTTTTTTTACGGACACCATCTCTGCTGCTACAACACAGCTGTCCTTCAAATTCTGCTTCAGTTGAGGCAGCAGAAACTCACCCTGAATGTGATCCTTCTTCAGGTCTATCCTCTCCAGCAGAGGGATGAGGTAGGCTCCACTTTTTCCTGTGCCATTCTTAGCACGAGCCAAAATATCTCTGCCTGACAGAGCGATGGGGATACTCTCCTCCTGTTGGCGGAGAGAGAAGTCCAGTCAGTGCAATGGGCATGGTCAATTGGACATGACACATATTTGGTGAAACATACCAAAATAAAACAGTACGCACCACAAAGAAAGGCATCTATGAGTGCCATTATACTTTAATCTAAAAGTGTGCAATCTGTTGTTTAGGTATAGACAGACATACATTTTTGTGTGTGACCACATGCCTATAAGACCCTCGTCCTCGGCATTGACAATACAAGATAACAAGATTTCAGATGGCATGGTCAAATGACTCTGTTAGAGAGGAGGGTTATGTCAACATAAACAAGAAACTAAAAAGGGGCAGTGTTCTGGGTTTAACTGAGTGCAGTCAGATTCATAATTATGATTCATGTGAAAAGACCTGAGGAAACTTTTTAGGAAGCCTCAGAAAGAAATATACTAAAATAAGTATCACGCCTCAAAACCATGAGGGCTCCGTGTTATACATTTTCTTACCTGGACAGGGGACGGTTTCTCCCATCCCATTTCAAAGATGCCCATAAGCAGTTCGCGCTTTAGGCAGTAGTCTTCAAATTCATTTCCCTTAGTTGATGTCACATCCTGGGAGAACAAATCAGAAACATGAGATTACTGTTCAACAGGACCCAGAGGTTAATGGGACACCATTAGAAGGCAAAACGCATTAAAACATTCAAAATCCAACCGTAGTTTACCGAAGTTCTCATCCTGCAGTCCTTCGGAGGCAGGTCCAGGCACTTCTTCCAGTCATCACCAAATCTAAGTGTAAGAAATAACAATATTATAGCTTAATAAATGACACAAAAAGTAGGTCTCTGAAATATATAGAGCCCTTAAACTATTTACTTCCCATGTATATGATCAAGAATGGGGGAAGGGGCAGACAGAGCAGAACAATAACTGTGGAGTAACTTTTCCTTTAATGCAGAATTAGAGAATATGGAACTGGGGCTTACTTGATGCCCCCGCTGCTCTGAGGAATGCTGGTCTTCTTCTGGAGGGCAGACGACTGCTGGACACCCGAAAGGAGTCCCATCTGTCCTTTGAGCTGCCCATTTGCTGGTTTGTTCAATCCAATCATTGGGTTTGCTGTTCTTGCTGTAGCCATTGCATCAACATTCACTGGCAATTTTGCTTCAATGTGTTTTATTTGCCCACCCGTGTGTAAAAAAAAACAACTAAAAGCTGAAAAAATAACTTGTCTGATGATTTTTAAAGAATGTATTGCGTACACAATCTGACGTTAAGACCTCTTGAAAATTAGAGGTCTGCGTATGAATTATGTCTATTTACAAGACAACTCTCCAAAAAAGGGAGAAATTAACATTCATATGAATAAATAAATCAAGCATGTGACCAAAACATAAACTCTTTTCTTTCAAAATAGTTTTTCAGTACTTTTATCCTGGCTGTATAATTCAGAATTATCTTTTTGTGTTCTTCTGAGTATCTTGGCTTTTTAAATCCAAGTGCTATGTCTGTACATTCAAATTGGCCAGTAGTAAAATATATTCTGCTTGGTCACGTCTCAAGACTATTCTTATGATTCGTTTCTTTGTCATCAAAAGTCTTCAAATGTTTTTTGCTGGGGCTCGATACTGGCTCAAAAAGTCACTCCAGCAATGTTGTCCTAAAACATGGGACAGTCCACTCAAAATGTCTGTGGTAATCCTGTTCCGGTTTTCTTTAGGTCAGTGGCAAATGTTGAGATGATCGTCTGCAAAGTGCTTTGGGAATTGCAGCTCAACAGAAAAATCCAAGTTACCTGTCAGGCAATAAAACAAAAAAAAATCCATACAGGAAATCAGAACCAAACATTTCAGACATGTGCATGAGGAATAACCATCTTTGAGCTGCAATCCAAACAATACCCAGTAGCAAAATAACGTCAGAATCACAATAAGGTTTACTGCCATGGTGAGTGGTGCACTGCAGACAAGAGATAAAAGTACAGGCACTGGAAACATCAATAACATGATCAATTATTATACAAATATGTGCCAAAAAAATATGTTTTAAAATGAAAGCTGTTAAATTTTTGTGCGAAATTATCAAATAATTGGAATATGCTTTCTGCTGATCTTAAAACCTGCTCAGATGTTCACACTTGTTCCCCGATGTGCAAAACATTTTTTATTTTGGGAAACCAGTCTTCCCAACATTAAATTGTACTGTAATGTGAGATTTTAGTTTAAAAGTAAAATTATATTTACATATAACAATGGTCCTAGTATTTATATTTTATACAGCTGTATTTTGATATGGTTTTAATTGTCAGTGTGATGGGCACTAGGAAATGTTTTAAACTGTGTTAATTGTTATACGTGTCGACTGCAGACGGATATTAGCTTTTAGCTATAATCTGGCATGTAGCCCATGTTCTCCTTGAGATTAAAAGTACATGAATTAATGTACAATGCATGGTCCTTATTCAATAAAGATGCATAATAAAAGGAATGTGCAATAGTTCGGCAACAACAACACTAGACCGAAAAAACGGGCTTTAAAATTGACAGGCACCGTTAATGTTACATCGAAGTAATGTTTACAGAATTAACAGAGTTAAAACTATGGATTAAAGCAAACACTTTAAACACTAAAATCGCCATTAATAACGACTGTGCAAATGCGTCTTTGTTGTGATGCTAAGAGTAGAAGCTAACCTAAAGCTAACGCAGTTTGGGAGTTCAAATCAACTCAAAGTTAGCTAGTTAGCTCTGGACTTTTTCTTACATCTTTAATCTTTTGAACTAAAAGCAAAATAAACCAACCACCCGGTTATTGCTCAGTTTGCCATTTATTTCATAAACACCCCGTTGTTAATGCCGATGGCAAAGTTAGCTTGAAATAAGTTAGTTAGCAAGACTGTAAGCAGCGTACAAACTTTATGCATAGCAACGTGGCTTTAGCCGTTAAGCTAGCATGCTAACGCAAACTTGTCAAGTTACGTATTTAAGGGGACCTATTTTAAACATTTAATCGAGAAACAATATCCACAACCCCTAACAACCGTGGCTCTATTTTGTTTGATTGCTTCCGTTACTTCAACGATGTTATTCAACCCAAACAAAAGATTAAGTTAGCATGCTAGTGTTAGCTTAGCACAGTTAACATACACGGTTCTGTTAATCGATAATGAGAAAAGACTGTTTATCCAACCTGAGAGGCGATGCTAGCTTCACTTTGCTACTTCCACACACAGTTTCTCCTTGTTGTGTCGTTGCTTAACGTTTCGTCGACGGTTTAATTAAGTTCTGTAAATACTCGCTGTTTCGAGAAATCCATCGAGTTTTTGCTCTTTTGTCTCTTCTTTCGAAATATTGACAATTCAACATGGCCGCGCGTTCGTTTTTGGGCTGGTTGTTTGCTCCAAAGCACCTCCCACTGACCAATCAGAGCGCTGCTTTCAAATGTTGCTGTGTGTGGGACAAGCTGACAAAATCAAGACAAAGGTCGCTTCTGTTGAACACATTTTATATAAAAATACAACTTTTCATAGTGATAAAAGAACACTTGCACAGGCACGCAAACATCTGAAAGGTACTGTGGACACACATTGTTAAAAAGGACTATAAATGTGCAATATTAACCAAGTCAAGTTACATTGTAAGCAGCCTGGATACTGGATGGTTCCTGTATTTGTTGACCTTCATTTTTTTTGCCATCTCTCAACAGTCATCTCAACAAAAAAGGCCACAATACTTTTGAAATTGACCCTTGAGTTCACCAAGCTTAGCCCCATGTCCGTGATTTATGCAAATATCCATGCATTTAAAAACAGTCTTCAATGTTAGGCCATGATTGCATGTAGTTGCACATTTCTGTTGCTGCATGGAGTAACTTCACTCGGAGAAATCCAGCTTTTCAGTCACTTTTGTCCTGGTTATTAGGGAGGTGCACACAACAGCAGCTGGATGAGCAGATAGGCACCCTGTCCAGGAATCAAGCCCCAACAGTGCAAACTTTGACTGTCCTTTAACATGGAGTGTTAGGACGTTATAATTCAGATGCAGTCATTTGCTGCTCTGTCATCCCTTTGGCTACATCTCCTGAAGTCTCCTTCTGCTGACTTCTGTGTAGCTTAGGGCAGTGAAGTCTCTTTTTCAGGTTAGTTGTGTGGAGGTAGTCGCTAGGTACACCGGACATAACTTACACTAGTAAAATGGAAACACAAGTGTAGATTGAGTCTTTGGTGAATGGGAGGTGCTGCGATTAGGGGTGTGTGGTGTTGTTGCAGGTGAATATCCATAACTGTGGTTGGAAGATGGGGACCCTAAAAGAGAGGCAAAGATAACAAATTAAAAACTGTGATTTAAGTTGTACTTGTGCGTTTGAGCCTGTGTGCATTTTTCTTACCATTTTCTGTTAAATTGCTCCCATGTGATGAGAGGGACACGCAGTGTTGATCTTGCACTCTTATTTGGTTGGAGCCTCTCCCTCGTAACACGTCTGTTATCTGCAAAAGATTTATAGTCTCTATAATAAACTTGTTTGAATGACCTAAAGTACGTGTCACAATGATCTCTTAACAAGCAACTTGAGTAAACAAGGATATAATATTGTTGGAGAAAAAATTGCACCATTCAGGTCTGTCCTCTAGAGGGAAGGATACACACATTTGATGTACATTTATTGCTTCATCTTTTTCTTCCTGCTATCTTATCCAGAGCTTAGTCTGGTAGATTTTCAATTGTTTAAATTTGTAATGTCCACTGAAGTAGTGGTGTGATTTTACAAATAATTTGACAGTGTGTAATAAGGCCATCCCAAGGAAGTCCTTCACAGTCAATTAAGTAACCTTTTTTTGGGGTTCATTGTTTTCTTGACACTATTTGAATTATCCTGAAACAGCAAATCACAGCCATGAAAAAGGCTAAAACGAATGCCACAGTAAGAATTGAATTTCCGCAAGATCTGTTTTATTTTGCATTCTTTTTCTGTCATCTTCTTGCTCACTTTCTTGTTCTTGGCCACCATCACAGGGGTGTCGTTGTGGTAGTTCTTGAGGCTGCTGTCAGCTCCGCTCTTCAGAAGCAGCCGCACCGTGTCCACCTGACCTCTGCCACACGCGCTGTGCAGGGCTGTGTTCCCACTGTATGACTGGCTGTTGACATCACAGCCACTCTACAAGAGAAAAACAGAACAAGTTGACACAGATGTGATTCATATAGAAAGCTAGAGGGAGACGTAGTTAAGCATTGAAAGTGAAACAGATCCATGGATAGGCTTGGATCAGATAGGAGAGGCAAAGAATAGAAAATGTTTTAAAGGGGAGATTAAGGAAAAAAATGATCTGCTGATGTACATCACATCTTCACAAATTCTGATGAAATAGCTAAACTTTAAATATTTTTGTTCAAATTCTTTGAAGGCCTTATCTTTAAGTTAGAATAGAATGGGAAACTCATTGTGCAGCTTATGAGCCAGAACAAAAAAAAGAGAGTCATCAAATAGAGCTGAGTCACAACCCTCCCTTTTCCATACCAACACGCACACACACTCATTACCTCAATGAGGAAGTGGACCATGTCTGCGTTATTGCTCTCCACAGCATGCATGAGAGGACTCTGGCCACTTTTGTTGTCCTGATTAGAGGAAAAAAAGAAAAGCACCGTGGGAAAAATCAGAGGATGCACAGACGGTAAATGTAAAATGTGTGATGTTGTGAAACTTAGTCAGTGCTGAGTAGGGGCAGCACAGGGACTGACCATCGCATTGATGTCAGCGCCTGCATCCAGCAGCATTTTGGCCAAATGTGTATGGCCACGCAGCACCGCCAGATGGAGAGGGCTCAAACCTGAGAACAGGGACGAAGCAGAACATGTGAGCAAATGCAGATAAACACACCTAACACATACACAAATCAAGGTGAATGTATGTACAATCTCCAGCATGGACCTGCACATACCTCCACACACAGTATACATTCTTAGAGACATAGGCAGTTAGCACAGACTATTAAATAATGTAGAAGTACAGCATTAAAAAAGGATTGTAGCATTTTAAAGTGATACAAAAGATGACAGAGTGTGCAAGATGCTAGGGCATTTCATCTCATAGAAGGGCTTTACCAGCTAGGAGAAGCGATATAACTAAATGATGATTTTCTATGTTTCAGTGGGACTGGAAAGCAAACTGCTTCGAGGTGACCTAAGAGGTCAAGAGGTTTCTTTCACTAAATGATTTGTAGACTAGCAAGAGCATCTCAAACTCGATCATGTAGCACCCAGGACGCCAGTGGAGAGACCAGAGAATTGGTGTGATATGTTCACATTTCTTAATCTTTTTAAGGAATACTTAATCCACAAACCATTGATATATCAAATACTCACCCTTGTTACTTTTTTTTACTTTGAATTTGTGGAGAACGTTTGCATGTGTTCAGGAAGTAGTAAGCATACATACAGTGAACTAGCTGTGAAAAAGTTTGTAAAGGGATGTTTTGCTGTAGTTTTACTGTTGTTAAACATGGCCCATATTTACTTCAATGCATCAAGACTTTCTCTGTTTTTTTTACCTTCACTTTGGACATATGCAAGAGAAACCAAGTTTTTCTTCAAGAAATCAAGGTAACCCCGAGTGAGAAATTCACAAGCAAATGATAATTGTTGGGGTGAATGATTCCTTGAGAAGTCTTTATGCAGTGTGGTTAAACCTTCAGCACACAAAAGTTGAATGTCTGTTCATGTCATGTCATCTCAGATTTTATGCTATTAAATGTATAGTAGGTAGATGTTGTTATTCAGCAGAAGTGTCTTTCATGTTATTAGATCTAACCATTTCTACAGCTTCACTAAAACCCAAAGAGGAACCTGTGTTTATTTTGGGGGCTTTCTCCTATACCCAGATTGTTACTTTCTCACAAAAAATGTGTCCTGTGCTTTGACATCACAGGCTGTGAAGATTCGGCAGTGTGACACAGACCACAGAGAAAGGACATGTCTCTGCTCTCTCCACCCACACGCCCAAAAACAACGAACCATATCCTGAAGAAGGGTTCACATTTGTCATACCCCCCCAAAAGATGTTAAGTTAGTTGTTGTTCACTTATTTGAGCAAGTTTCTGCTAGGACATGTTTTGCAAATTATGCTTTATCAAAGTGTCTAAAATAGATGTGAATGAAAACATTGTAAGAACACTTTTGTCAAGAACCACTTCAACACAATGCAGACCCTGGAGCTTCTTCTGCAGACAACTTACCCTCATAGTTTCTCAACTCTAGGCATGTGGAGGATGAGGGGTGAGAGAGCACGACAGACAGACAGTCACGCTGGTCATATTCGCAGCAGAGGTGGAGTGCTGTTTGGCCGTTACGGTCCAAGGCAGAAGGGTCGGCCCCCTCCCTCACCAGAGCATCCACCATGTTCGCCTGCTGGGTGATCACTGCCAGATGAAGAGGAGTCTGATGGGGGGATGGCAGGAAAAAAATACAATTTAGATAAACCAGTGTATTCATATCCATAACCACAAAAGGCAATATACTGTCGCCTAAAATAGTTGTAATCTTTCACACAGCAGCACACAGTACACAGCATTCAGAGAGTATGAACCTCCCACTAATGGTGCACAATGCCCCTACTATCCTTTAAGACACATGTGTCAAACTCAAGGCCCGGGGGCCAAATCAGGCCCTTGGTGGATTTAAGTTCGGCCCGCAGGATAATTTCGAATTTCGCCGGTATATTGCACGCACACCTTCACTCAATCCTGAGGATTTCCTCATCTCAGAGCCTGACCCAAAACATTGATGAACTTGCACCCAAGATGAGATGCCAAGTATCTGGGATGAACTAGCATCACAGAGCAGCACACTGAGTTTCAATGGATGTTTCCTTCTGCACTTTTTTTCTTGCGACAACAGGGCATGTTTGTTTTTTTCTTTGAGGGAAATTGTTTTTTGAAGCTGTTGTTGGCCTGTGGAAAAATGTAATCATAAGAAATGACTCCGGAAAAGCTGCAGATAGAGCCATAAGAAATGAATGCAATTGATTATTTAATGTTGTTTTTATAGGCAATCATTTAAGCTTTGTTAGTTCCAGGTTTAATATCTGCAATAAGTTAATTTCAATAAGTTTTGCAATAAACATTGAACCAGTCCGGCCCTCGACTAGTAGGCCTAACCATTTTTAAATGTTGGCCCACTGTGTATTTGAGTTTGACACCCCTGCTTTAAGACATACAGTATCTCTTAAAATATGAGATAAAAATATTTGTTACCCTGTATAGTTATTTCTAAACAAGAATCTATTTTAGAGTCATTGTTCCGATCAAAGATGCTCATCTAATAGTGGAAATCCCAGATCCACTTTTCCACCAAATGTAATTATGTTGTCCCTCCCCAAAAGCCTTTCTGTTGACAATCTCCAAATTGTAAATCCATAAAAGGAATTAAAGCTTGACATTTTTGGGAAATACACATTTATCTTTGGTGGAAAGCTAAAAGATATGACTATATAGTGGATGAATCTGAAAAAAGAGTCAGGAGACAGTTAGCTTCGCTTAGCGCAAGAACTGAAGAGAGGGCTGCAGTTCTAGCTAGCTAGCCTAGCCTCTGTCTCAAAATAACAAAATGTGCCTGCCAGCACCACTAGAGCTCACTAAATAACATATCTTTAATATGTACTAAAACATTTAAGTGTAACTTGCCCTTTTACAGGGTTATATGTTGCAGGTTGAAGGCATATTTTGTCTCTGCTAAACGGGCTATAGGCTACTAGCTGTTACCCACTGACTTAAATGTGTATGCTAAGATAAACTAAAGCAGCATAAGGTTATAGCTGCATATTTACCACTTCGACATGCAAGTGGTATGATGTCCTCTAACTCTCAGCAAGAAACTGACTAGCCATGTTACCCAAATGACTATTATTATTTTACTTTTGGAGATTTTCTGCTGCCAGAAAAGCAGCAATGAATACAAAAACCTAACAAACAACACCTTCTTGTGAGGTTGGAGGAAGCATGTTATTATTTCTAGTAAAGGCCTCCTGTCATCTGCAACCTGTTCTACAGGGTAAAGGTCAAAGACACAATAGAAGCTATGCCCGTAAGGAAGGGCCAACGCCTGATGTAAATAAACAAAGAACCATTTCTGGTAAGATTATTCTAATTACACATCAGAAGATCATGAGATACATGCACAGTATATTACGCACCTATGCCCAAATATACACAAACGCACATAACCATTACATGCACACACACACAATGGCGATATAGTTGTCAGCAATCAAATCAAAGTCCAAAAAAAGCTGACTGACAGATGAGACCTTTGCACCGAATATCACAGAGCACACAACAAAAACAACACCTTAGCATGGGACTTTGTGAGTAATCAAAATGAGGGGGAACCTGTTGTGAGAGACAAACAGCCTGCAAGAACAGGAAAATAAACAATTACTCAGAGTTCACCAGGTATTTGCCTGGCTGAAACTACTGCTTGCTCAATAAATTAACTTGTGCAATCTAGGATGTTTCTTTGGGTGAGGTCAGCATGTATCATCCTGTTGATAAGTATATTAACTCTGTCCAGGGCAATGAAAACCTCCTGTCTAAATTAAGCAATGCAATAGCTCAGTCATAAAGGGAAGTATTTTTTAACCTGGACTTTTTAGCTACCATTTAAGTTACACAATAAACACTGCAATCAGGAACAGATCGTTTCTCCAAGTTTCACTTTTGTTGTACTGTTACTGTACATGTGTGTGTGTGAGTGTTGGGGTTTGTTCCAGTAAAGGCTATTAAAAAAAGCAGTGTAGCAGTGGGAAAGCGACTTTGTGGAAATCCTCAAATGTGTCAATGCCAGTGTTCCTCCATTATGCTCCTGTTTCCCTGAATCCTGTGACTCACACAAAATGCAACAAAACAGAAACACACACAACACAATCATCTTCTGCTGTAAAAATTGGATGTTCATTTTTTTTTTAACATCCAGTATGAACATTGTGAAAAGCAGCCATACTATATTTTGACCTCACACAGTACTAATGACACTTGTAAGAGTTCTTGTGAATCATTTCCAGAATTAAAGAAATACATTCCACACCTATAAGGCCTTAAAAACACACCTATCATAGTTGGCAGAGTATAGTTCTGGCTTCCTGTAAAGGATTTCAGAGCGACTAAAACAAAAATCCAACAAAGATAAGGGGAAAGGAATGAGGGGGGCAAGAGCGGAGAGACGGAGGAATGAGGAAGAAACGGAAGCGGCAGAGGGGAGTCCGGGGGAAAGACAGGATAAGAAGGGAAAAACCCTTCTCTTTCCCTTGGGTTTGTCCTTGCACACTTGCATTCCTGCAAAATGAGCGGATAAACATGAAGGAGGTTAGAAGATGACAGGAGGCTTCTCGGCATGAAGAACAGCCTCGGGCTGTAGGCTGTGCCAAACACAAAGAAAGATGCGAGGCAAAACTAAGAGACTGCGGTGAACACTACAGCAAGGCCTGTTGCACAAATCACACGCTTTTACGTCAGTGTTGTTGACGGTTGTACTGATAGCATCAGTCAGTTCATCAGTTATGGTTACAAACCCTAAATTCTCATTAGATGCATGCAGAAAAAAGGATAAAGGTTACAGGCGGAGATAGCGCGCGAGAGAGACAGAGAGAGAGGCACGCGCAGTAAGGGAAAGTCCCTGTAAACTACCCTCTGAACCAAGGTATGTTGAGAAACAGCCCGAAGCAAAAGCAGGGGGGAGTGTCATGTGACTTCTCGGAACGAGGATACTAAAGCACACACAAACACACACTCAGATGTCTCGCTTGTGCACACTCACACAAAAAAAAATGGCATGTTGCCAGCATGCACATAAACAAAAAAGTGTCACTTGAACTAAACAATTCAACAGTACAGTGAATGTGACCATTTACAGGCATGTATTTAATGAGGTGATCTGTGTTGCATTGCAGAAGTAACACATGCACATTAGTGGATGTCTTAAATCTAAAGCACAAGTCCATCAGTGCATGTATAAGTGTGGGTGGCCCCTGGGGATTCAGACCCTAAATCCCACTAGTGTCAGTGCACCATCAGCTGTTGGATGAGCAGCAACAAGTTGACTACTATAGCGTGTGTTTTTGCACAGCCATACTGATTTCATGAGCAGTGTGGGAGTATCAAACAGCTGTCTCTACCATAATGTAGTGAAAGCCAAATCAAGTTCTGATATCTTGCAATATTGTTCGGTTACAGTACTGATAGTAACACTCAGTCAAAAAGTTCCATATGTAAAACCACAGGAACTCAGGATTTGTCATCAACATTGGAAAAGCTGTGTTTTATTATTTTTGTCTTTGGGAAGTTGGGCCAATGCCAGAAAATGTTATTGCGTCCGTCTGGTAAACTTTATGTTTTATAAAGTAAAAAGTTCCCTTTTGAAGTGTTGCCTTTATGCCTGGTAACCACACAATCTGGTAGGCAAATGAGTGTGATGGGACCTGTGCCTGAAAATCTCCCTTTTTGGGTATAATTGCATGGGGCATATTATGTGTGAATGTGTGAAAAGAGAGTTTTGTGTGTGTGTGTGTGTGTGTGTGTGTGTGTGTGTGTGTGTGTGTGTGTGTGTGTGTGTGTGTGTGTGTGTGTGTGTGTGTGTGTGTGTGTGTGTGTGTGTGTCGCGTGCATTTATTTCACATACAGGGTAGAGACAGGATATCACAAAACCTATGCTGTCAAGCCTCAGCGATGAGGAAAGACAACAACCGCTGATAGCACCAGCATTATTTCTGGTAAGACAGCCTGTGGTGTGTGGTGTGAAACTCCAGCCTTGAGAACTAAAGCTCTATGTGGCTCAGGTGCTTTCTCTGCTGGAAAGGATAAAGCTGGCAGAATACAGAGCAGGAGGCAGAGGAAGTGTGTGTGAGGGGGGGGTGTGTTTTCTTAAGGCCTTTGGTTGGGACAGCCCTGGATTGGGAAACATTTAAAGATAATTCCCTGTCCACATTCCAGTTCAGTTCACTGTAGTTTATCTATTTTGTTGAGGTTATTATGCAAGGAGGGTACAGTCACTTTTTTTATAAGAAAGACTGATCACCTCAGTTCATTGAGTCTGTGTATTAATATAAAAGTATAAATAGAATTTCCCTGAACAAAGAGTGTAAGAGTGTAATCTTTATCTGCAAGAAAACAAGGAAATTATGTACTGAGATATGATTTAAAAGAGATATCACGTCGTTTTACCAGCCAGGACAAGGTTTGTAATTTGAGTGCAAGGTTCATGAGAGTTCATAGGAGTCCCACTTTGCTCCGTCCTATCCTTTTGGCAACGTGCTAAACCCCAGAAATCGCTCACTTTAGGGAAAGCTCACACTTACAAAACCATAAGCAAAATAAAAGTAAACATTGGAAAACACATTCAGTCCTTCCCAGCATGTGCATGTATTTGGCTTTTGGCAAGTTCAGGTGAAGAAACCAGGAAGGGTGAATTCCACTGCCATCAGCCTACTGACTGTAAGAGCATGCGATAACATGGTGCCGTGCAAGGAGGAAACCAAGGCACTTCCTCTTTCTTTTCCATGTTACTGTTATCAGAAGGGTGAGGCAGCAGGGGAATGTCTTGTACATGCCGTGGTTGTCGGGGCAGAAAACCCCAACACATTTAAGTCTTTCTATCATCATTTTATACTAACTGACGCTGATACCTCTCATAAAACTCATAAAACTGATACAGTAAAACAATCTTCCTGTGGATTGAAAGAACGTAGAAGTAACCGTGCATGTTTGTGTGTATTTAAAGATTATTAGTTTTACCTGACGGAGGTTGTTGTAAACATCAAGGCCTCTGCGAGCCAACTGCAGGAGTTTGATCAGTTTGCAGACGATGGCCATCTCCTCATGCACCACCGCTATGTGGAGAGCTCTGTATTGAATACAAAAAAACAAAGAAACAAATAATTTTACACTGAGAGTTAAAAGAGAAGTGTAGCAAAAAGATCTCAAGGGATATTTAACTGAGTCTGAGGCTTTCATGACATTGTGACCAACTACCATTAGGAGTTAATACGAATAAGCATTCCGCTTTAAGCATGAATTAATTAATGAATAGGAGAAGAAAACTCACTGATTCTTTCAAAGCCTTCGAATCTAACATGTGATGGATTGTTGATATTTTTGTCATCAGAAGTAGCAAATAAACTTGTTTCAAATATTTTTATTGAGAAGAAGCATACAAGTGTAAGCAATAGTATAGACTTCTTTGGGGTGGAAATCATACTTCCCTTTTTCAACATAGAAGACAAACAGAACAGCCAACAAGAAATAATAAAGAAAAAACATAGCATGACAGGACTACCATGATTAATGACATACATAGTCATAGTGGGAAAGGACATACAAAATAGTATACATAATACAAATAAATAAATACACTTAAAGGGTAGTAGCAAATAAACTTGATCACTTGATCTGAATTATCCCACTGACAGTTGTACCGAGGAGCTTGACAGATGTGCAGCAGTCATTTCTCACACTCCCTTTATCACACGCTTATCAAGACTAAAGGGGAAACCACTATCTGTAGTTTCTATGTGAAGCAAAAAAGAACAAATGCAGGCTAAAGTTTAGGACAGGGAAAGGAAAGGGGATGGCAGGCTTTAGTACGCCATATACTGTAGAAGTTCTCACATTTTTATTTTTATGCTTTCAGAAGAAGCAGCTTCCAGTAAGAGGCAGACTGGTTTTATGTCACTTCCTGTTATCAGCAAACAATGGCAGCATTCTTTATCTTGCTCTGTGTGATGTGAATTCAGCCATTCATCTGTGTGGTTTCTGACTGGGGCTTTCTGTAGGTTAGCTTAATCCAATGGGTAAATAATATTCACTCAAAAAGTACAATCCTGCCACAGGAAACAGGAATGCTTCTTGGAAAGTCAAAAGTACAATTTCATAGAGTTTGAGTTAAAAGAAAAGTCACAATTACAAAATCACTTGCCACACTTCCTCTCAAGTGATGTGTCCCAAAGACAATGAGCCACTAACATTGATCATTTCCTGCCATTGATGACTTATATATATTTATGAATTCCTTATCATATTTAAATTTAACAATAGATTCTACATTTGCACGCAACAACTACACTTTTATCACATTTCATCAAAAACAGGTGTGTGGTTCAAGGAGCTAGCTAGCTACTTATTACAGCATTTTGTAACTCTAATCACGTCTTCTAACTACATATAAACCAAACAGCTATGATAAGATCTGTATTCACAATGAAAACATTTAAATTATTTGAAAACTTGATGCAGGAAAGTATGAACAGAACAATGTCTGTGGTCTTTTGAACTGAAGGATCATCATGTGCCAAACGTGTTGGTTAAACTGGAAGAAAGGCATGCTCCACTATATCTGTATATTCGATTTAACCAATTTACCATCTTAAAAATAAGTGCTCTGGATAAACTAAGTGTGCATCTGTACATACATGCAACAATGCATCCCCATGAGACAGATTGGACTTCAGCTCTTAAACATATATTTCCTGCACCTTGGAACTCCATCCGCAATAAACAATCAGATGATTCGAACCTGATATCAGAGCAAACTGTAAGAAAAGCAGAACTGAACTTTGGATCGGGAGTGTGCTGGGTCTTTCCTCAGCCCGTGTGTTTCACCCATTTCATATGTGACAAAAATATTAATATTGACACGTGTTTCAGGGAATGTGAGGAAATATAGTAAAGAAAAGTATCAAAGTATTGGGTCCAATCAGCAAGTAAGATAACGACCCAGTAAAGGTTTTGATGTGACATTTTCAGTAATCAAGTATTGCCAAACTCTGCATATATTGTTGACTTGTGCAGGCAAATGCACTGAATTACTGGAAGCATGTAGGAATTCATTTGAAGGAGCTACAAGACAATCAACACGTCTGCACTTCTCACATGCAAATGATAGTGTGGATAAGCAAATGACACATAAAAGACATAGAGAGAGAGAGAGAGAGAGAGAAAATCGTAAGAAAAGCAGAACTGAACGTTGGATCGGGAGTGTGCTGGGTCTTTCCTCAGCCCGTCCCTGTTCCTGTAACTGAGCTCAGCATATAAAAACAATCTGTATGAACAAAGAACTATTTAACATATTTACTGTCAGCACATTGGCTTTATGAAATCCCCTGCAGCTTCACAGCACAATATAACAGTGATTGGAGACAAAAATCATGCTATATCTTTACAGATAAACTAATTCATCTAAGCATTGAACTAAACGACTGTACATATAAATGCCTTCATATAGGGGTGTCCACACTACGGCCCGGGGGCCAAATGCGGCCCGTGACCCATTTTAAACTTGTGCTTGTCATATATTGTACTAATTCAATATATATGTAAAAATATATATCACAGTATTCATGTGTTAATATGCCCAGTTTTCAAATAAATCAAATAAATCAAAGTTAGAAACATTTTCAAACAAATCTTAGTTGATAAAAAAAAAATAAGATAACTAAAAAATAACTTAATTACATAACAAGCTTGAAATACCCTTTCTATTTCCTGTTTTTATAAGCAATCTGAAGCTTCTGTTTTAAGGAATGAGCTGCCAACTAAATAAATGAAACCCTACAGAGAGCTGAGAGCTTCTTGCATGTTGAGCACAAATACCTGTACTTTCTACTTCTTACATTTTGAACTGGCTGTTGTGGCTGTTGAAGGCTGTTGTGTTTCTTGAAGCATTTTCAAGTATCAAGCTTAATTTAACTACATTTGATTGATTTTGCTAACTTATGACTTAACTGATAAGGCAATAAACCTCTCCTCTAGTGAGAGGCCCAGACCTTCGTATATGTTCCTGTATGTGGCCCTCGAAGAAAAAAGTTTGGACACCCCTGGCCTAAAGTGATACTGAGTCTCTTGTTATTCTCTTTTATCTGCATCCATCTCTCTCTTTTCTCTTTAGATGAAACCGTACTGTTTCTAGTTCCTGGAAGTGGGGCAGACCACAGCCCCAGTTAACCTCAGGCACAGTGCCACTGACGCAGAAAGGAGTCCCGAGCCTGCCGCACTACAGTGACAGTCCCTGTGTAACTGTGTCTGTGTGAATGTGTGTGAGAAACACAAAGAAGAAAATAAACTGCTATAAAAAAGAGAAGACGGCGTGGTGCTGTATCCTGTTTGGCAGGGAGGGTGAGGACTTAGCTAACCTGAATGATGCGACTGAAGCCAAACATGTGGTCTGTGGACCAGCTGAGCAATGAGGTGATGTCTCAGTTTGTGTGAATAGTAAAAAAAACAAAAAAAACAAGATGCATCACAGTCCAGTTAAAGGGGCCCTATTAGGCTCAATTTCAGGTTCACATTTGTATTTAGTGCCGCTACTGTGACATGTTTCCATGCTTTAATGTTCAAAAAGGTCTTTATATCTCTCTTACTGCCTATGCTGCAGCACCTCTTTTCACCCTCTGTCTGAGCCGCTAGCCAATAGAAGCGCGAGGGTTACATAGTGATGTCATTATGTTACAGAAGTAAACAAAGGAGTCAAATCGAGGCTTTCCAGGCAGGGGGGGAGTGTGTGGGAACTTTGGGATTGTTCCCTTTGCAGACCATTTACATGCACACAAACCTATACAACACACAAAAGGAAAGTGAAAACTCAGAAAAACATAATGTGGCCTCTTTAGCCAGGAATGATGTGCCCGTCACACAGAATGAGTACTTCCAGATTTTGTGGGTGAAACAAGCAGTTTGTTATCATGTGGGATCTAGGTTTGTTTTTCTTTCTTTAGAGCATTTCTACATGTATCATTAGGGTAACATCTAATCTAAAGTCAAAAGTCACCAAAGTGCATTTGACAGCAATGCACTCAGTTTAATCTCGAGTCAGTTAATGGAGGTGTGAGTTTCTTATTTGAATGCAATTAGTTTTGATGAGGTGAGGCTAAATGCTTGCATGATAGAGGATTTTTGAAAAATAATCGGTGCAAATCCCCAGAAAACTTGCAAATGTAGTTCAAAACAATGCACACACAGGAAAAGGGCTGTGGACCCAGGTCACATGACGCATCGTGACCTTATTCACACCACAGACAGACAGTCTTTTTTCTACATTGTTGCTGTAGTGTAAGAAAGAAATTAGTGACTTAGTACATAAACATTTGTACACAGTGATCAGAAATACACCCCCTTGGTCCAGACATCACATCCTCACATCACATCGCAACAATTCACATGACATTTTGCACAGATAGCCAAGGTGCCCATAGAAAGAATCCTAAAGACTCTTGTGGTCCCCTGAATCGTCCTCCGAATCAGTGAGGTACACATTTGTTTTTTTGGTAAAACGTTCAAAATCTCCTAAGAATCCCCTGACTTTTGATTGTGACAATTTTCAATTCAATACTTTGTTCTGTCCAAATACCAAATAACTGCATTTCCATAATCCTGAATTGTACTTTACCTTTAGTTTTTGTTAGCAAATGTTAGAATGCTAACACGTTACATGTTACTGTAAACATGTCCCGTTTAACATCAGCATGTTAGCGCTCTAATTGTGAGCATGTTGCAGTACTGATGTTTGCGTTTTGAAACAAAGCATGTGTATAGCCTCACAGAAGCATTGATGTGGTTTCGGACTTTTAATATTCTTTTATGTGTGTTTCACCCATTTCATATGTGACAAAAAGATTAACATTGATACGTGTTTCAGGGAATGTGAGGAAATATAGTAAAGAAAAAGATCAAAGTATTGGGTCTAATCTGCAAGTAAGATAACGACCCAGTAAAGGTTTTGATTTTCAGTAATCAAGTATTGCCAAACTCTGCATATATTGTTGACTTGTGCAGGCAAATGCACTGAATTACTGGAAGCATGTAGAAATTCATTTGAAGGAGCTACAAGACAATCAACACGTCTGCACTTCTCACGTACAAATGATAGTGTGGATAAGCAAATGACACATAAAAGACATAGAGAGAGAGAGAGAGAAAGAGAGAGAGATGAAGCTGATAGAAAGAAAGCGGTAAATGAGGAAGTGGGTAACGGATGTTTGGGTTTTTTGAGTCCATTCATTTAAAAACACAGAGAAGAAAAGAGAGAAAGACACCTGAGAATAACCGCGATCATGTTTAAAAAACTGAGCACTCACTTGGTTTTCCCGAAACTAAGGGGCTCAAAGGCGCTTTGACGTAAGAGAGGCTCATGCACAGCGTCACTCACATTATGCATAAATCATGCACGCACACACACACAACCGGTGTGAAAAGTACAGGGGGGCTGAGAATGTTTCTTTCTGCAGAATTCACACAAGGTTTAAAACAACCACAAAGCAACACACAGGTACTACACAAGCCAGCTAAAGTCTCAACTTCCATAGTAAGGGGTCATGAAACGACTCTGCTTTGCTGCATTAGATCACTAGTACTATGATAAAATCAGTTGTTCATTTCGGTTATGTGTTTGTACTGCACATTTTGATAATATACTTGTAAGATGCTCTGGAGAGGGGTGTCAACAATTCCTTGTAATCGCATAACATATGAAGGTGATAATTAAAAACAGGTTATAGAGTACCAGAATTAAAATGCCACAATAACAAGTTTACATTAACAGATTACTTCTAAGTGGCAAGAATACAAATGTAAATGTACTTCTTATCATTGCTGATGTGACAATCAGCATATATGGCATTCTTCTCATATTCCATGCCACAATTTGTTAAAAGAGTATGTATCATAGTTATTATGAGTCTCTGAAGATAGGATGGGACAATAAGAAGCTGTGACATGTCACGGGATTTCTGGCTCATGTTGGTCATCACGAGTTTGTTTCAAATGGATGCAAATGATCCCGATACTTTTCAAACCGCAACATCAAAGTCATTTAATTCTTGGACATGCTATGTTTTCGGTCATATGACTCTGTTTTTTAACTCTAATGAGTGACATCTAAGTAAGTGTGTGGGTGTTGAAAACTTTAGACAAAGTAAAGTAACCATGCGTTAAAAGTTTCATATTTGCAATCATGTGGTCTTAACAACTCCTCAAGTGTCCTGAGTACAGTATACTTATTTCCAACCCACACGTTGTTCAACACACACACACACACACACACACACACACACACACACACACACACACACACACACACACACACACACACACACACACACACACACACACACACACACACACACACACACACTCACACATTCACACATGATGCATGTCTATGTGTTAAAGCAGCTAAGACTCTAGTGCTATAGTTTCTCTGTTAGTGTGTTGGATTATTTGCCACATTGCAAATCATTCTTCACCTCCACTAAACAAGTTTCCCTGACAGGAAGTGAAACAACAGTAAAGAATCTGGTTGGATTATGGAGGGGGGTACTGACTGTACTTGTTTGATAGGCAGAACCAGGTGAGTCACAGAGAGAGTAAAAAATAAACTCAGATGATATCACAGACTTCGCACAAACCACATCCAGGTTGCGCAACGCCAAAAGTTTTGTTTATGAGGTCAGACTTGTTGAGACCAGCCTTGTTTGGGTATAGCCCACTGAATCACTTGAACTGACTTGTTTTTTGCGAGACTGTTATAATTTCACTTTTAGTCAAACCTTCCTATTGAGAGAAGATGGCTCAAGTACAGGTGTCAAGACACAGACCTACAGTTTGTTATTGGCTGGTAAGGAGTCGTGATGCAGACTAAAGTGTCACAGTACTTCTTATGCAAGACATTTTAACATATCACCATACTAAACCTTAATGTGTCAAACATTTTAATTAATGATGCATGAATTACATTTAGCTTCATAAAAATGTGCATGCTAGCTTACTTTCAAACTGAGATGGCCTACTGGGATATATGAATTTCAAACACAGTGGTTGAAATGCTGCTTTGGAAAAGGCCTTTGGTGCATGCTAAGGCAAAAATAAGAAGCCAGCTCTAAAGACAGATAAAGCAGATACATGAATCAGCTGTTTTGTGTGAATATGAGAAGTGAAATAATAAAATAAAAGCTTAAATACTGACCTCTTTCGTTTTATATTATCTGCAAGTTTAAATGTTAAGATCTGTTAACTGCATATGTCTTGCTATTCGCCACCACATGCCATTCTAAGGTATTACAAAAAATATATTCTTGCGACAATATTGGGCATCGACAGAATGCAGTTTTAAACTGACTTGAAAAACTTACTTGAAAAAATTCATTCTTTTTAGACCATGAATTGTCCTTTCTGAGGAACATTTAACTATTTCAAGAATTTGAGAGTGACTCAAATTCAGTCACTCTCGTGGGACTGACGAGTTACCAGTTCCAAGAAGAAGTTAGGAAGGTTGCGCATATACATTTTTTTTTTATAACACTATTATCAGGCTCTTTATGTACAGAAGTCACTATGGTTTACACTATTGGTCTCTATGGGTCTCTAAAGAAAATCACAGTGAATGATCTCAGTCTGCTGGAAAATCCATGAGTATTTCTGACTGTTGTAAGATCTCAGATTTGAGAATTGTTTCATGTTTGCACTGTCAACATTGCCGCCTGATTAAAAAGAGCAGATTATTAAATAATGCACAACTTAGAGGAATCATCAAGTTTACTGTATGCGTTTGAGACTTGGATATGTGACATTACTTCGAACTTCAAAGCCATATAAAATACATTAACATACGTGTCTCCATCTTCATCTTGACGTGTAGCCACAGCAATAGTCTGCAGGTGTTCTGCTTGGTGGGCCAGAAGGTGGGTGGGCTCAGGAACAGACGGCAAACAGAACACTGGGTATGCACCTGAACAGGAAGGAGACAGAAAGAGAGACAAAGAAGAGGCAGAGAGGGCAAAGAAAAAAGATAAAAATAAATATTGAATTCAAAGGGCAGTGTTGGCACACTTTTTTTGTAATAAGGAAGTGTGCAGCTGTGCATGTAGGTGTGTGTGTGCATAGTATTTAGTTATGAGTTGACCCAGTGAGCTACTTTATCAGTGCAGGAAAGCAGCAGCAAAAAAGCTGACTGGACATTTTCTCGTTGATTCAGCATCAGCTGCTGCATCAACCCTGCTATCTTTCTTCTTCCACCTGAGACTCACTAGTGACCGAAAAAGTATTGAAGAAGGAGTGTGTGCTGCTACTGCTACCTAAAATAGCTTCATTCATTTTATAAAAAAAATACATCTTCATAGAGAGCCCCTGCAGGTTGTGCTATGCTCTCTCTCTGCCTTGGGATGCTTACTTGTGTCTCCAAATTAGTCTCACCATTCAACACACTGATCTAATTTTAGTCATCAAAATAAAGGTTTCCTTTGAAATATTCATCAGATGAGAACTTTATAGAAGTTACATAAAACGTTGTGTAACATAGACCAGAAATGATACTTTGTTGGTTACTTGGGCTAAGAATAACTTGTGCAATAACACAGAACGTTTTAATCGTAAACTGTAAATGGTTTTAATAAGTGAAAAGTAGACTGAATGTTTGACGGTAACGCTTACCGTAATCAAACTGGTGCCAAATGCGGATGGGATATCCATCTGGACTCAGTCCTGCCTCTGTGAACCGCCTGGGAGTCACTGGTGTGGCACAGACTCTGCTCTCATCCGCAGATACCTCCAAACGTCCGGTCAAACTCTCTCGTAATGTGAGCTCTGTGTTCCCTGCAGGGGGGACGCGGTCCTCTCCCTCTGGGGGAGCCGGGGACTGCCTCTGGGGCTCCGGCTCCACGACAAACTGGCGTTTCCGAAAAGGAAGCGAAGAGGAGGATTTGTCCGCTTTTCGTTTGCGAGCAACACCGGTGTCATTTATTTGCAAACTGTCCGTCCCTGTGCACGCGGGGGGTGCGGGCGAGCCACCTGTCCCGCGAGCGTCCCTCGCGCCGCTGCTGCAGTCCGGAGTCCTGGCCGCTGCACGCTCCCGGGTGGTGGTGCGCAGATCCAGCGGCGCGGTGGCGACCGACTGGTGGTCCCCGTTCATGGTCATGATCCTCGGCATCAACCGGGGGCGAGGCGCTCAGGTCCCGGAGAAGTCTCAGGTGTGTAGGCGTGAAGAAAACTTCGTTCAGTGACACTTTGGTGGGATCAGTCCATTCAGAGTGGCCAGTCTTCCCATCCCCATGAAATCAAATGCGCGTTCCCTTCTGTCTTACTGTTTTATCTGATACGCGTTCAAAGCAATTGATTTCTTCCTGCAAATGTGTTTTCGAAGATGAGCCAATAGAAGTGTGGTGTAGATGTGGTGTCCCAGCTACCCTTAAGAAAGGACTGCAGGTACAGTGCAGTTCCGCAAGCGCTCATCTGCTTTAAGCCTAATGAACGTAATCACAGCGACAGGGTGCTTTCCCTTATAAACCGAAACAAAGCGGTTGTTATAAAATATACTGAGTGGAGAGGGAAAGAGAAATCACTTCGTTGAAATCATAATACATTCTGCATTTGCCACGTCTTCGACAGCTGTCTGTTTTGCATGCAAGTTCAAAACATTATACTGAATTTCTCAAGAAGTTCAAGGATCGAGGCTCTTCACGGTTCAGGTGCTTTGGCCAGTCGCTGTGTGAAGTGTGTCTGCATTAACCGCATCTCCATTCACTACATTTAGTTAATTCCCTGTCATTTTTAAAATGCACCTTGATGCATTTGACAGTTGTAAATGCTCACAATGTACACTTATTGTGTACTTCTATGTACTTCTTTGTTGTCAATTGTTCAGTCATGTTAATAAAAGCTATAATTTAAAATGTCAAAATGCACTTTTCTTTAAAAAAAAAAGGAGGATCAGTGACCATACAGTTTAAGGAGATGGAGAAATAGGTATATATATATTAAAGGGTTCACTGGTTATAAACCGTATTTATTTCCTTTATTGCAACATCACTGTTCCACCTTGTTGATGATAATGGAACCTACTGACCTTAACAACATGGAATCTGCAGAATTATGTTACACTCATTGTGAAATTAGGGAATATTTTTGATGTATTCTTGTCGGATTAATGCCAAAATAGTGAATGAGTAACTCAAAAGGAATGGCTTTGAATGTTAAACTCGTAATGATGACATGGAAGGGATAGTCATGTGTTTTTTGTTCATTTTTTATTGCCTCAATTCACCAGACAATGTTGATTTTCACACTTCAGTCTCATTGCATATAGAGCAGACAGTATTGTCTCAGTTGTGGTACATTACAGCTGATTTTACTCTTCTAATTGACAGTTTAGTAATAATGTAAACGTTTATTTTCTTGCAAACATGTGAACTCATCATTTTGTAAATGAACAGCACACGAAGGCTCAAGTTTTCCTTATGTTTAATTCATTTTGAGGATGCAGATTTGACAAGCTTCAGTCATGGATGCATAGCGCCATATGTGGCCTCAGGTTGGTCATGTCACTTGTATTTAGACTATAAGTGAATCCTGTGTCCCCAAAAGCAGGTATAAGAATAACAAAGGGGGAATTCACAAAGAAGATGTCCTCTAACTGACTAGTTGATGCCATAACTGCTGCCCTGCCTGTGCGTGTACCCAAACATGCACATAAACCCACACATCACACCTCATCTCTTTGACTTTAATCTTATCCTACCCCACCCTCAGACCAGGGTCTTATTACCAGGGTCAATTTGGGACTTTCCTCTTTCCACTGAAGTGTGGAGCTGGCAACGGAAAGTCAAACTTGATGTTTAAAGTCCCTAAAACACCCTGACACTACACAAACATGCTCTGCAGCTGTCAAAGCACTCAACCATTATGGTATCTAATTGCAAAAGGTATTATTTATGAAAAACAAAGGCCCGCCTCTTTAACGGCCATGCAGTCTCACCCTGAACACACACTATCAGAACGTATTGCTTAATGAATGATACATTAGGCTTAATGCTCTGCAAGCACACACCCATAGAAAGAGAACATACATTTATCTTTATTATTTAGGGGTTCAGTTTGCTGAGACTCAGCAGCAGGATGAATGCAGAGAGCAGTCCTTAGTGCCACCTACCACGAGATAACATGAGGCCCCCTTGTGGCTGGAGAGCAGAGGTGCAACTAGGCCTGAAACTCAGCATTTAGAAATGAACCTACTTTGAACGATTTAGAATATCTACCAAGATCTTCTGTTAAGTCATTATATTTATAGTATTTTTAAAGCATATTAACCCTCTATGGCATACTGTTGCCCTCAGGAAACACACCACTTTTTTTGACCTCACACTGGCCCTCTAAATATTTTTATTTTTTAAAATATACACAATGTCACCTGACATGCTGCTGTCCAATAAAATGAGGGAATTATATGGGTGTGGCATTTTGTCTGGGGGTGGAGCAGTCCTTTCTGCAAGCAAAGCTGCAGGGGACTCAGGGCCACCACTTGGTAAGATACATTTCACTTTTTAACATATTAGAAATGTACACAACTTAAAATAAAAAATACATGCATGTGCATGAATACGTAAAGAAGTATATTTGATTGTTTAAAGACTTATTGTGTATTTATTAATTAGCTAAAACTATGTTTTTTTGTTCGTTGCCTCAGGGCAACACTGTGCCACTTAGACCACTTTTTTCCAGGCAATATCATGCAAGTGTGCAAATGTGCTCAGCTGTAAAATGATAAACCGAGTCAATGTTTTTACTTTACCATCTACTGATATTTACAGGAAATGGACACCAAAACATGTTATGGGCAGAAGGGACACGATCAGGCTGTTAGGGCTATTCCGTCTGACAGTGAGGACAGTGAAGGTCAAGATAGGGTTAGGTACACAGACACACACACATAGACACACACACATAGACACACACACACAGACACACACACACACACGCACACACACACACATAGACACACACATAGACACACACACACACACACACACACGCACACACACACCACACACACACACACACACACACACACACACACACACACACACAGAGACACACACACACACACACATACACACACACACACACACACAGACACACACACACAGACACACACACACACAGACACACACACACAGACACACACAGACACACACACAGACACACACAGACACACACACACACAGACACACACACACACACACACGCACACACACACACACACAGAGAGAGACACACACACAGAGAGATACACACACACACACACAGACACACGCACACACACACACACACACACGCACACACAGACACACACACACACACACACACACACACACACACAGAGACACACACACATACACACACACACAGACACACACAGATACACACACACAGATACACACACACACACACACAGACACACACGCACCAGACACACACACAGACACACACACACACACACACACACACACACACACACACACACACACACACACAAAGAAATACACACAGACACACACACACACAGACATGCACAGACACACACTCACACAGACACATGCACATACACACACACACACAGACAAACACACACACATACATATACACACACATACTGTATACACACACATACACACACATACACACACATACACACACACACACACACTCACACAGACACACACACAAACACATGCACACACACACACACACACACACACACATACACACACACACACACACACACACACACACAGACAAACACACATACATATACACACACACACACACACACACACACACACACACACAAAGAAAACCTTTTGAATTCATATAGAGTTGTTTTTTCAATTTCTTCTGAATTGTAGAAATCCTTGGTGTTTCAATACCCTCGTAGCACATTGTTGCCCTGAGGCAACAAACCAACCCCTGGTTGAGGGGTGTGGGGGGGGGTCACATTTTATAATTGATATAATATCAGGGACCCCTAAGCTCCTAAAACACATGGTGAAACATTTTTTTCCTCCCAAAATAAAAAGTCATGCCATAGAGGGTTAATATATATGCTCTTTAGTTAAGGCACATTAAGATGGAAACAGACATTTAAATGTGTAAAATAAACTGATTTCATTGATAACACTAAACTGAGAGTTGAAAGCAATTGATTTCTTCTTGCAAATTTGTTTTCGAGAGCCAATAGAAGTTTATTGTAGATAGTGTGTAATATTTTGATGTGTTTGTGTCGGATCAATTCAAAAATAGTGAATGAGTAACTCAAACCGAAAGGCTTTGAATGTTAAACTCATAATGATGTCATGGAAGAACACTAAACTGAGTGAGTGTCTCCCTCTTGTGGATGTTAAAGCAGAGGTTGTCAGTCTTATTGATAGTACAGATGTTATGCTATTTGAAATAAGGGGAATCAGTATATATACATATTTGCATTTAAAGCATGCTTTTATATATCAAGTTCAGCTTTATTTGTAGCAAATACATTTTTTACTCGCTTCTTATTAAAGTGACTTTCTTCGAATTGAGCCCTTATGCTCATGCACAGGCACGGAATCAAAGTCAAAGTCAACTTTAATGTCAATCTTTCAGTTTGTGTGTACAGACAGAGAGATCGAAATAACGTTTCCAACAATCCCGAATACAAAAATACAATAATACAAATATACAAATATGTATACAAATATGTATAAAATATGTATATCCTATATACACTCAACAGACACATTTACACATATGCACTCATTAAGATAAAACACAACAATCAATATATACAAAATAACAGTCACTTCAATATAACTTCCAATGATTAATGGAACAAAATCAAATTAGTTTTAACAATATATGTACTGTATACAGCCCATGATTCATCCATGCAAGCTGTGCTGTGGCTGCACATCGTAGACGTAGACCATACAAACGGTATAGAGACACAGCTGTCCCTAATGTTTTAATTTGATTTGTGATGTCATGTTGTTGGAGTACTTGAGCTGCACCCAATGTATGAAAAGTGCTATACAAATAAAGCTTTATTATTGTTAAAGCTTGCCTCAGCAGGCTAACAGCTAATATGTTCACATGTGTTACCATTGTAATGCAGTTTGGTAATTTAGCATGCTAACTAATTCAGTAAAATGTCTCATGTGTAAATCAACAGTTTAGATCATTTGTGAATTGTTTTACTTTTTTTGCCAAACAACGACCACATTTCCTCATTAGGGCTCTTTAAATGTGACAGTTTTCTTCTATTTTGTGTTTTCTATCATTGCGATTGGGATATGTTTGGGTATTGTTTATGTATTAGAATTCTAACATTTACAGACAGGCACCAAACACAAAGCAGGCTACAGTCAAGACTGATGGGAATATCAGAGGTTTTTTAGGAAGATGACCAAAAACAACACATTTTGTAAAAGTTAACATTTTGGCCTGATGGTGGCGATAAAGCAAGAGTAGTGACTCTAAACAATAACAACTCATTCTGAGGGGGACACATTACATTACATGTAACTTGTTAGATGCTGTTATCCAAAGCGACTTACATACTCAATACTGTGGGCAATCCCCACAGGAGCAATTTGAAGTGTCTTGCCCAGGGACACAACGACATGCTGACTGCAGTGGGACTCGAACTTGCTATCCTCTGATTCGAAGATCAGCGCATTAAGCCACTGCGCCACACGGCTCCCTGTTAAATTGAATGGCATCCAAATCCAGAGCAAAGTATTAGGGTTCTTCCTCTTGGGAAGTCCATACACAATTACACAGAAATTAATCGAATGGTTTTTGAAATATTTGAGTTTAAACCAAAGTAGTCAATGTACTGATAAACCACTTCTGCAGAAAATATATGGTGACATGCCAAATAAATCCTTCAAATGACACAGTAAACATCGTTCCCTGCCAGTTGTCAGGTGAAGAGGATTGTTCTTATAACACAACTGTTGTTGTTGACCTTTAAGTTTGACCTTTGCTTTGATTGCAGGCATCCTGTCGGTTAGTGAGAAGGCTACCTGTCTGGATACTAAGTTTAACTCAGGTCTTGCACACTGCTTTCATGTTAAATTTTGAGGTCACTCCTCTCGGTCTTCACCACTCCCATCTCTCTCTCTTGCTCTCTCTTGTTGCTTTCCTGCTCAAGCAATAGAGCAAAGAAAGTAAACCTGTTTAGCTGGCTGCAACCAGGAAACCATTCAAAGGGTGCACCAAGAACAGAAAGAGCGAGAACGAAAGAGAGGGGGGGGGGGGGGTGACAGAAGAAAGAAAGAGAGACAAAGAAGAAGCAGCAAAGTTTCAGCCAATGACAGAGGACATGTTTTCCGCGGTGTTGTGAGTAGATGTGTCTGTTCTGTTGACCCTGACATTGTGGGAGTGCTCTGCCTCTGAGATGTGAGCATGAATATTGGTAAGTATGCTATAGAGAGGGTGAGGGGGGCTGAAAGTGAGAGGGTGGAGAGAGTCAGGATGGTAGTTGTTGGTAGAACGGTTGAGTATCAGTGTCACTCCCTTCCTTTGCAGTCAGTTCACTTCTTTATGCTTGGTGTCTTTTGTTGAACTGTTGATGTTGTGAAAAACCTTTAAAAAGCAGCCTCTATATAACAGGACTTGTATTTTCTTGTGTTTTTCTGAAGATCTGACACAGGAGAAAGAGTCTAAAAATGGGCTATTTCTGGAGGAAATGCTAAGATTGAAGTGCATTTTTAGAGATGCTATAATTGTGCGGGCTAGCCATCGTTGGGTCATGTAATGCTATTGGATTATTTTATGGATCAAAGATGGATGCTGTTTGAAGAGGCTAAGATGTCTGCTTATCCAAAGAAGCTGGGACCTCACACAAATCACCGTAAGGACATTAAATACCAGCAGAGACACTCAAACACTTGAGTCTGGATGATAACTGCTCCTATTTTTGCTCTTAAACACATTCAATAGACCATTATTATTTATCGTCACGCCTCCTTACATGGAGACAGACTGACATTTAAGGTTGATTCACATCACTTCACAACAGAGGAAAGATGGCGGCAGCAGGTTCTGGAGCTTCCCTGAGCCCCAAATCTAGCTCCCAGACTCCTACCAGTGGAGACAGGCGGCTGCTGGACAAGACCCTAAAAAGACTTCATAAACTGGGCGAACTATGCACTAACCCCCGGCTGGGCCTGAGGAACAGTCCACCATACCTGCCAGAGCTGGTCTCTGAGACGACAACACTGCTGACTCAGGTCTGGGAGCCCTACAGAGGCCCCAGGGGGCCGGGGGGCCAGGCACCCCGAGGGGACGAGGCCAAATACCTGAGGGTCCACATCCGAAACCTGCTGGATAAGACGGACCGGGCGCTGCTGCTGTTCAAAGAGGGACGGGACAAGATGTTCGAGGACACGTCCAGCTGCAGGTAAGAGGGCCGACATCTACACACAAGAAAGAAAGTGTTATTTTACCTGAAATGCAATACATAAAAAAAAAAAGGTTTTTATGAATCCTTTTATTCAAATGCTTAATTTATTCATTCATTACTTTGTCCTTTGTTCTCTGTCTTTTTTAACATAGATTCAAATAAGTCAATCAATCAATCCTTTATGAGAGGCAGTCACATGTTTTTTCCTCTTGGTGTACAAATCAAAGAAAAAGCTGCTTGATAGAACAGCAGTTTTTTTGACAATTAATTAATAATTTCAGCCATTTATTTTATAGAAAATGGCAACAGGTGCTGCTTCTAGTTTCTTAAATGCTATAATTGGCTTTTCTTTCTGTGTTCTGTTTAATTGTCAATTGAATATCTTTGATTTTTAGTCTCATGGTCATAAAAAATAAGACACCTAAAGACATAATCTCGGGCTCCCAGGACTTGTGATGACCAGTTTTGATTTATTTCTGGACACTTCATTATTTATTTTTATTTGAAAAGGGACAATGCACGTTATAAGACATTGCTTTAAATGCGCCAGAGTTAACCAAGAGGCCGTATACTAAATGATAACTTTATTAATCTAACAAATTATCTCCATATTCAAATAAACATATATTGATATCAAAAAATATATCGAAACTTGAATATAATTTGTATTATTTTTGTATCTCAAGGTTCAGTCAGGCAAATTCAAATGGCAAAAAAATTGGACGCCACATTATGTACTACAAAAGACAGTTGGGATAAAAGCAGCGATCATAGCATTCAAATATGATTTAAAAATATTAAACACAAGCAGTGTCCCTGCAAATCAAGAAATGTATTGGACTATCTCCATTATCCAGAGTAACAAGGAAACCTTTCTTTTGAATTAAAACATTTCACTGAGCAAGGCCAATTACCATTCGAGGTAACCCGCCATTTAAGGACGGCCTCGTGTAGTGGTCGCCATTTCCCCCCCCCCCCCTAATTTAATCATGTTCTCAAACTGAAAAAAAAATCATCTTTTTTTAGATGTATTCCTCTCTGTAACCAGATCTTGATGTAAGATTTAAGACAAATAAACTGACTCTGGGGTCAGCAATAGTTCGTACATCCATCAAATCCTTATCCAGGACCATGGGACCAGGGCTTAGTGCTCGTGGTCTTTAAAAAGTATGAAAATCCATAAATAGTTTTCTGTATTTGCTCGACTAAAGGAGTCATAAGTTAATACTTGACAGCTACGATAGAGGCTATGACCCGTCCTTATACTAAATCAAACAAACTCGTATGGCCGCTTTACACCATCGCTACAATATATAGTTTAATAAAATAACTCCCCCGTTCCCACATGTAAAATATAGACTTTGTTGTGTGCCAAAAGAGAAAGAAAAATACCACTTTCAGTAAATTTGCGGTTTGGCCAAAGTGGATATTTTGGAACAGCTTAAAAAGAGTGACTTCTTTATTTAAAGTTTGTGCTGCATCTGCTGCTCCTGTTGAGACTACTAATAACGGCAGCAGAAAAAGAGCCAAACCTGAATCTTTGTGATGCTAATGTACGGAAACTTGGCAAAAGCAACATCAGTTTGTGAGCAGTTTGGGAGAAAGGCAGCCGGGCTTAAACACACTTTTCTGTTTGTTTCCATACATTAATATCCACAAGGTACACATATATCCTCTGCTACTGTTACTGCTAAATATAGGACCTCTCTTTTCTACATTTTACTCAGATAAAGACATGCTGAGCTATCCATCTATCTATCTTTATTTATATTGCGTCATTGTGCACGCAGCAGATGGCCTATTACCACAGCAAGGTCTGCATGAGCGGTCATGTGACAAATTCACATTGTGTGATGTGTAATGTGGCTTTTGAATTACGGCAAATTGAGTCAATATCTTCTTTTGTCTTTTTTTAAAGCAACCCACTTTTCAGCATGTTATGCCACAGACTCAGGCAGTATGTTAAGGTTAAAACAGAACTGAGATCAGCCTGATGGAGGAGGCGACAGAAACAGACAGTAGAAGGTTTGAGCGGCTGGTGGATTATTGTGCGTGACACACTGATGGTTTTGACATCATCTGACTGGAATTTATGAAACACATGCAAATATGCAAACTCTGTTCAACATATAGCTTAAACTTTAATCAAAAACAACACACATATGTATCAGTATATTAATGAATAAACCAGTTTTTGTAACTATGAATGATAAAATGTGTATATTTACACAAATACACATTGATTAAACCGGCTATGCCCCTAAGAGCACTTCATATTTGGGTAATTTTTACACAAACAAATATTTCATTAGGATTGAATATCTTACTCATCGTGGTTAGGGTGTGGTTTTTAATATGTCATTTCCATTGTTAGAATATAATCACTGATTAAAGATCCGGATAGATATTAGGTTGCAGGATTTGTTTTTAATTACAAAAATGTGAGCATGAATTTGAGGGTCACTCAGACACAGCTTTATGTTCTTGGTCTTGAAGTTTTGAATACATTTTTCTCATCATATCATCATATTGTGCAAGTCTGAAAATAGATAAATAGGCCATTACTGATGTGTGAATGTTTTACACAACTATTTTTATTTAGCTTGAGATTCTTCTGTAAAGACTTCCATCGGCTGCAGAGAGCTCGACTTAAACGCGCCTCAAAGATCTTTAAAAGTTATTCTCTCTTTCTGTATAAGATTTGAAAGATCGGAAGCTTAAAACGCATTTAACATTGAGCTTCTTCAGGTGATCAAGCGATATTTCAAATATTAAAATAAAGAAACAATTACAGCACAGAAAACCAACCCATCCGAGAATTAAGCTATAGAGCGTCGCCATTGCTTCACAACATATTTTACTCTTTAATCTAAAAATAACACGTGCACTGGAGTGTTTGCAGTACATTTACCGACCATCTTTTTTTCATGACATTTATACGAGGGGCCAGACTGACCGAGAGACGTGACTAATAACACATTTCCTCCCACGCTTCTCCCCTTCTCCTCAACACCTTATACATTTTTCTCATCGAGTTGAAACGTTTTTAACCACCATCCTCTTAAGAGAATGCCCATTTTATAATTACTGGCTGCCTGGACACATCTGCTGAACATATTTACAAAGACACATTCAAAAATAATTACGAAAGTGCAGATATGGTGAGATGAAAATGAGAAGTTGGGGTCAAATTCAATGGATGGGATTTACTTGCATTGTAATATACTTTATTCAGGTATTAGAATATTTCCTATTGTACAATTTTAACTGCATTTTCATTAGAAAAGTAAAATAAATATAGTGGAGTCTGTTAATCCTCTCCTGAAACACGCATTCGGGTCTTACGTAAAACATGTTCGGAAAAAGATCTTTCAAGATACTTCAAAGACAACTGATATATTTTTACCTGTTTATGTTTTGCATGATAAAAAAAGTGTTAAAGATGGGAGTAAGCTGTTGTTACAGTGCATACAATGTCAATTAAATGTAGCATTTACATAGTTTAATTCAGTTTTTTATGAGAGACTGCACCAAGCGACATGTTTGTAGACAGATGTGTGTTTAAAAAAAAAGAAATTGTCAACAAATAGTGTCTTGAAAGAGGGTACAGTACATTCTTATAAAGAAGTGACACTTTGGCCACTGGAACATTCTGTGGTATTTACAGACAAGCAAGCTGCAGAGCATCCTGTTTGCTAGCTGGACTACCTGGTGTGCGTTTATCTGCGGAAAGTATCAGCAGTGTTTGATTTAACTCAAAAGAAGCAGTACAGTATCCAGTGTTTAACAATTAGAGCTATGTCCCCCTGAAAAAAGCTGGTGGTAGAATTTATTTTATGTTATTTCTTTACATTTATACACCATTTATTTATAGCCACAGTTGCCATAGCAAAACAAGCCTGCCTGCCCTGACACCTTTAACTTTACACACCTACATTGGTGACAAATGCACAAAAACGAACCTTTAAGGTAGTGACACTTTATTAAAAAGTTTCCGCAGATATGTCCTTATTCTGAATCTTAATCCTAGTGCCTTTGACACTTTTAGATGCAAGAATATTAAAAGAAAGTGTGTGAGTTAAGGGTTATAAGTTTAAGGAGACGTAGTTATTGCCTCACAAGATGGTTTTACATGTTTGTATAAGAGAGCATAAGAAAAAGGAAATGTGATGTCCAAGCAAAGCCTATTTCTATATCTGACTACACAACTGAAAGTCTGTTTTGTTTTTCTTTCTCAGGAGGAACTTGACCAAACTGTCCTTGCTGTTCAGTCACATGCTCTGGGAGCTGAGGGCCATATTTCCAGGGGGCAGTTATCAGGGTGACACCTACAGGGTGACTAAGCCAGAGGCAAAGGAGTTTTGGATGCACTCATTCGGAAACAAGTGAGTATTAGGAATGTTCCTAACAAGATAACTTTTATTGTATTTTCATTGTGTTTTTATTTTTTGCTACATGTTAACAATGTGTTCTGACAGGTGTTTTGTGCAGTGGAATAGCTTCAAAGAGCAGCTGCAGAGTGTGCATGCGTTTGAGGAAGGGATGGAGTCCATGGCTCTGAAATCAACTATAGATCTCACCTGTAATGACTACATCTCTGTGTTTGAGTTCGACATCTTCACCAGACTGTTTCAGGTAAGGTGAATTTTCCAAAAGTCATAAACTCATAGATTAAAGAGGCCCTATTATCTTGTTGGGGTTTACCCTTTCCTGTAGTGTGTTATATAGGTTTTAGTGCATGTAAATGGTGTGCAAAGGCTAAAATCCCTCTGAGTTTTCTCTCCCACACACTCTGCCCCCCCTGTTGACCAATCACAACAGAGCCGGCCAGCTAACCAATCAGTGTGACAGAGTGTGAAAAACATGTCACAGTTGAGGCACAAAATACACATAGGCCTATGAACCTGAAATGATAATAATATTCCCTCTTTAAAAGGAATAGTTAGACATTTTGCTTAATACGCTCAGTAGGTTTCTTTCAAAGAGTGAGATAAGAAGATGGATACCTTTCGTATATTTGTACTTTCAATTTGAAGCTACAGTATAGCCGGTTAGCTTAGCTTAGCATAAAGAATGGAAGGAGGGGGAAACTACTCTGTCCAAAGGGATATCGACAATCGATTGGTATCCTCTCATCTAGAGCAACTCTTACCAAGACAGCGATAAAGCATATTTTACCAAAGTGTTTACTACTTCTTTAAACATGAATCATAATGAACATCCTACGTCTGCTCTCATTTTTAGCCGTGGAGGTCACTCATAAGGAACTGGAACCAGCTAGCAGTGACTCACCCCGGCTACATGGCCTTCCTCACCTATGACCAGGTTATAGCTCGTCTGGAACACTACCTGCACAGACCTGGGAGGTGAGGACCAGCACAGCAACAAACTCTGACTGATGCACTTCCTACAGGACCTATATTATATCACACATATCTCAAAACTCTAAATACTACTGAGGATTCATCTCAGTTGTTAGCAATAAGGTCCAAAGCAACATTGAACCAAAGCACTATATTTAAGTCTCTGGAAAGAATGTTTATTATTAATTGTTGAATGTATGTATTTTATTTTCTTCTTCAGTTTTTACCAGATGTTTTTCAGCATAACAAACTAAAACTTTCCAGCTTTCTGTCTATGAGTCAAACATGTTGTTAAGTATAGCTCCATGACAATACGTGTGTCCAAAACTGCTTTAAAGGGGACACATAGGATTGTTTATTGTTTACTTATTTCACAGTTTATGGGTCAGTAGGCAGTTCCGATACCATGCACAGCACTTCAAAATATGTAATTGATTGCACAAATACATTTAGACTGAAGCAACAACTTTTTGCCAGAGACTTAAATGGTTTAAATGCTTATCTGGGAACTTTAATGTGTACATATAAACACATTGGATTAACAGGATCTCTTTCCCTCCTAGCTATATCTTCCGCCTGAGCTGCACAAGAATGGGTCAGTGGGCTATTGGTCATGTGACCAGTGAAGGGGGCATCGTCCAGACCATCCCCCAGAATACACCTCTCTACCAGGCACTCATTCAGGGCTTCAAGGAAGGATGGTTCGAGAAAAAAACACACACAGCTCTCTGGTTTATTTTTGTCTCTGTTTGTCTCTTTTTTCTCCTTAGTGCTGTGTGTTTGTGTGCCTGCAGCTACCTGTACCCAGATGGCCGAGATGTGAACCCCGACCTGACAAGCTTGTGTGAGCCGGCCCACAGGGGCAAAGTCAAAGTTTCAGAAGTAAGTGGATGAACTTCATACCTCTTTACCCATTCATCAGACTGTCAACAACATCCCAAGGCTTTAACCGAGACAAAACATAGATCGTATCCCGAGATGTTGTCTTATTATTTTGTCTTGTATTTCATGTCTACACATCTCAAACGGTACATTATCGCCCGACAGGAGCAGTATGAGATTTACTGTGACATCGGCAGCACCTTCCAGCTGTGTAAGATCTGCACAGAGAGGGATAAGGACACTCGTATCCAGCCCTGTGGACATCTCCTGTGCCAACACTGCCTCACAGGCTGGCAGGTAGGAACCCCCCTCCACTTACTCATTCACTAGAGTCATTTACAGCCCTGAACACCTCTGCTGTTGCCAGGGGCCACATGCAATTGAACAATTGAGCTAAACTAGTTTGAAAAAATAGACATCATTCGATTTAAAGAACAACCACAGATTTAGTCAGCTGTACCACCTCAACAGTCAACACCTTATGTTGCAGTTATACATGTGCACTGAAAAAACTGAAATGTTGACTTTAAATAAGTGTATTATGTCAACAACTTTCACACAACTATATTAGGTTAGTTGAACAATAATATCAAGTTGAACCTGACATTGAAAAATATGTGATATGACGATGTTTCGTTTAAACAGCCTCAAGTAAATGGTAGAATTCAATATTTAAAAGTAATTTCCAAATGGTTAGATACAAGTGATATAAGTAGGCTATGTATGCTTTGTTTGTTTATTGATTATATTTTATATTTAGCATTTATCCTATGTTTATAGTTTATTTAGTAGTAGTGGGTGAGTCTTAGGCTGGAGCCACACAAGGACGATAACGCAAACGGACCGAAATCGATATCAAAAAAGTCTTCCGTCCACACGGAATAGGCACCAGAAACGTGTCCGTTCACACGAGACCGCTCGAAAGCACTGGAGACGCTGTAGTACATATGCCGGGCCTGTAAGTGGCGCTGTACTCCTGCCACAAAAGCAGCGAAGAAGACTTCCCGCGCATGGTTGCCATGGTTGCCCTTCTGTTTATTCTCCGCTGTGGACGCTCTGGCTCTTTTTCTCCCTCCCCGAGGCAAGCGTTTGCTCCTGCTGTAAATCTCTCCGGTAGTCCACCAGCAGATGAAAAACACCCACCTCTCCGCCTCTTCCAAGGGACGAGGGAACCGTGCGGCAGAGTTTCAGTTTTTTTGCCGGTCAACATGTCCGTTAAAGTTTAAATCTTCCGGACAAAATTAGAAAAGTGCCGGTCAGAGGTCTTCTTTGTTATTTATTGAGCTTTAAAACAAATTGATAACGACTCTATATAATAATATAAGAATAAAAAACGGAGCCTCTCTTTTCCTCCCCCTCTCCTGACAGCCCAGCAGCTGATCTCTGAGCAGGAGAGGTGGGGAGAGGCGGGGCTATTGCTTCAACGTTATCAGGAAATGATCGTATAGGCGTAAACACAGAGCCGTTTGCCCCCCCAGAGCGTTTCGTTCGCAGATCTACCCACCTTGGGACCCGTTATCGTTATCGTTTTCTGTGTTTCCATGTCGGCCTCGTGTGGCCGAACCATCTATCTGATAGAGAACTGTAGCGGATATGACCGTTATCGTCCTTGTGTGGCTGCAGCCTAATACAGGGTTTTCAATCTGATACTTTGTTTTATATTGTGTCATCCATAGATACTCTTTAGGATATATTTTTCTATTTCTATTATGTATTGTTTGTTTATATATGAAATATATAATGTATGCCATGTGCAATGTCTTATTTAGATGCTGTTCTGCTCTGAAAAAATCCAGATTTGGAGTCAATAAAGAATATAACTATACAAATATAACTATTCCAACCTAACCTAATCTAATGGATAAAAGGTTAAAGTTTAAGTAATGCAGTAATTCAGCTAAGTATTAGCAGTATGATTGTTGACCAAGCCAACCTTATTATTACCAGTTCAATTGTATGAGAAAACAATATCAACTTTTATATAAGGAGTAGTGTTATACATTTGAAAACATACATTGGGAATCTACTGTATAACGGGGTAAACAAGTCCATCTGAAGGGGCAGTGAATGTAATTCAGACCAAAAAGGTTGTGAACCACTGGCCTACTGTAGATAATTTAAAACCTGTGCTAATGTTGAGACGCCCTGAGGCGAGGCAGGTTATTAACGGAACTGTTGTCTGTGTTCAGTGGTGTGAAACAGTCGGGATGACAAAACAAGATTTATTTTTGTTTGCCGAACTGACATATCAGCAGTCCCATGGTTTGGTTGTTGGTTGAAGCCTCACCATGCAGCAACAATTCTGGTTATTTGAATGTGGTTTGGGGTTAATGTCAAAAGTCGACAGGCAAGGATTTTCACATCCTCTGTTGTATAAGATAACCCTCACAAATCAATACCATGACAAGTTCCTCAGTATCTTTTCATAAAACATAATTTAATTGCTGAAACAATCATTTGTGCAAAAACATTCCTCGATTAAAGAAAAAGTAATCAGAAATAGCCTTGGATAGCCTATGTTTGTGTATCAATGGAGCTATTACACATAAGGACATAAGGATGTTCAAACACTCCTTTATCCAACTTTAATTTTTACATTGAAGTGACATTGCATCTGTCAGCCTTATTGACACAAGACAACATTTTCAGAAATATTCCGTACAACTTTGCTTGTGAATTAGGTCAAGATGCATCCACAAATGTGTCAACTCTCCAGTTCTGTCAGGCCACAGATAGAGACGTGGACTCCACACTAAAAGCCTCCTAAACCAATGCATTGCATAAGCAAAAACTTTAATAACGACAAAGCACAGACCTTGGTGTAACAGTGGAAAAGAAAAGAGCTGTGAAAATAAACCATTAGTATCAATAATGGATGCCATTCATATTTAAAGATTTCCATGCTCTTCTATTATTAGTTTCAGTCTACCAGCCTGTACCCTCCCATCTGTTCTGGAGGTGTTTAAGTCTTTGCAAAAGTGCAGAGCAGCATGTCCTGACATTTGGCAGAGGACTTCCTGTTTGAGCACCGGCTCACATCCTCCTCAAACTGTGTTGGTCACATTCACTTTGAGAAAGCGTGTGTGTACGAGGGTGAAGGGAGAAAGAGAGACCGGCAGGCAAGACAAGAAAATTAGATATGCTTCGTGGATGTCAGACCACAATGGAAAAGTTGTAAGTGTAGTTTGTGGTCAACCAAACTTCCTTATCGACACACAGTTTACAACACAATACGATCACCTTCAAAGGCAGTCAAACTCTGAAGATACTAAGAGTTTGACTGTTAGTCTGCATATACTAAAAGGCATCTGCAACACTTGCAGCTGAATACAAAAATATTCCCAAAGAGTACTAAAGTTATCGGTACCACTTTACAATAACACTACCCTTATAAAGGGTTTACGAATAGTTTGTAATTCATTTATTAATTAGGTTGTGAATACTTTATAAATCATTAATAAGCTTTTATAAGACATCAAATCAAATCAAATCAAGGTTTATTTATAAAGCACATTTAAAAGCGATTTTTGGTCGGGCCAAAGTGCTGTACATGTAATAACTACAATCACATAAAAACACATTTCTATATGTGACATGACATGAGATAAACAGGGCAACTGTGACCGGTTGCTTGCCAAATAGTGAGCCCACATTTATCTGTACTGCCAAGTCTTATATTGGCTACCTAGCTTACTTCGTCTCCTTCATCAGCTAGCATCCTTGGTATCTGTTGTTCACTGAGTTGATTCTCGCTAAGTAGCCAATATAAGGCTTAGTCATCTTGCCAAATAGTGAGCCTGTGTTGATGTATGGAAACTATGTTAGAACTGGTTTATAAATGGTTCTTAATGATTAATAAAGTGTTTACAACCTAATTATAAACCCTTTATGAATCCTTTATAAGGGTAGTCTTATTGTAAAGTGGTACCAAGTTATCTTATAAGATCTTCAAAGTAATGTGGCCTAACAAAACAAAAATAAGCCAGATAACTATTGCAGGTAAAACATAATATACGGGCAATCTGAGAAGTCTTGTCAACTACAAACATTGACAGTCTGCATTTCAGTTCCACATAAGACCTGGACAGGCACAAAGCCTGTGTGCTAAAAGTTAAAATGTCACAATGGTACATCTTGATCTGGTTTACATTTGTGTAAAACCGCAATGTACAGAGTCAGTTGAACCTGGTATTTTCCACCTCCTTTATCTTTTGAAAAACTGGTGGCTTCTTTCTTTGAAAAGACACAAAGCTCTTTAGACAATGGCTATACATTCATTTTGTGTTTCCAATACTCTGCCCCATGACCTGACTATCTAGCAGAAGTCGGCTGGCCAGACCTGCCCGTACTGTCGCTGCGATATCAGAGGAACTGAGTCCATCCTCGTGGAGCCCTTCCTACCAGGCAGCGGTCAGTGGGGGGAGGAGGGTGAGGAGGACCAGGAGGAGGAGGAGGAGGACCATGAGGACATTGAACTGGTGCTAAAGGAAATGGCTGCCCTGAAGAAGGTGAGTGAAGGCACTTTGGTGCCCATGCTTTTAGGGTTTCCTGTAGTGTTTGATATAGGTTTGTGTGCATGTTAATGGTCTGCAAAGGCTAAAATCCCCAAGTTCCCTCCAGAGGGACTTTCTCTCCCACACTTGATAGGCTAAGGGGTGAGACATCTCTAAGCGGTTGACCAATCACAACAGAGCTGGCCAGCTAACCAATCAGAGCAGACTGGGCTCTGGTTTAAGACATAGGGTGAAAAGAGGTGCTGCAGTACAGGCAGTATGAGAGAAATAAAGAAAGCTAAAGTGATTTAGCAGCACTTTTTCTTAAAATTGAGGCTCCACGTTTGCAACATACATCTTCATTCCCACTTTAAAATCTCTTGTCACTTTAAAGTAATGCTCTCCACTGAAATATAAAACGATTAACTCACTCACCGACTGCCAACATTTTCTTTCAACAGTTCTCAAGTTCGGATTACCAAGTTCCCCGGTCCCACCTCAGCGTTCCACCTCTGCCCCCTAAAAACTTCACCACCCCACTCTCTCCATCTCCCTCCAGCCGACCGCGGACCTCAGAAACCCAGACCCCGGAAAAACACTCCCACTCAAGTTCAGTAAGTTCCCTCAAACACTCGAGCTATTTGCATATTGTTGCTGTTGCTGTTACTTTTTCACGGTTTTATGATGGGAAGTGTTAAATGCCTCCCTTCCTCTGAGACAAACTCTGATGAATGTTAATGAATGCACAATATTGAAAACCACTCACCAACGGTGGTGTGAATATGTGTAGAAAGCCAGAGGTTGAAGTAACCCCGCTTACTGTAACTAAGACGTTTTTGTGTACTCCCTTTCCTGTAGTGTGTTATATAGCTTTGTGTGCATGTAAATGGTCTACAAAGGATAAAATCCCAAAGTTCCCTCCAGAGGGAAGTGTCTCTCCCACACACTTGGGACTCCTGAAACTTGGACTCCCTTGTTTACTTCAAAAACATAGTTACATCACCATGTAACGCTCTTTTATTGACTAGAGCTCCAACACATTGTATGCGATAGGCTAATGGGCGGGACATCTCTAAGCGGTCGCAAAAAAGCCGGCCAGCTAACCAATCAGAGCAGACTGGGCACTGGTTTCAGACAGAGGGTGAAAAGAGCTGCTGCAGCACAGGCAGTATGAGAAAAATAAATACCTTTTTGAACATTAAAGCATGGAGATATGTCACAGTAGAGGCACAAAATACACGTATGAACCTGAACATTTGAATAATATGTCCTCTTTTTAAAGAAAAGTCTGTAATTTGAATTGCATTAAAGATTTTATAATAAATGTATGCTTGATACCCAGTAGTAGCTGAAGGCTGCGTTATCTTTGTGTGTTTCCTCTCTTCAGCCGGCTCAAAGTGGCAATGGAGCACGTAGAAGACACAAACAAGAGAAAAAGAAGAACAGGTGACACAAAAAGTTTAAGTTTAATAAAAGGGGGGGGGCATGTGGTTAAGATAAGATAAGATAAGATGGACCTTTATGAATCCCCGTGGGGAAATTCAGTTGTTAAATGTATACAAGAAGCCTTCAGGAGACACATTGTGAGCATGCAGTCAAAACTGTACAGAGTGACTTGTGATACTGAGATAGTGATCTTGAGATGTAGCTTTATCTGGAGCTTCTGGGAAAATCTCGTCCAATTATCTATGAGGGAATCAGCGTTGCAAAGTGTGCAGATGCAATGATTTTTTGCATTTGAGATTTTGGTTGTCATGCCTTTGTTTAAGTAATATTGCATTGTGTTTATTTGTATATATTTCTGATTAGTATTGTTCTGTTTTAAGCAGTGCTGAATATCTCACAGAAGCAAAGTCCACATCTTCCTCTCAGAGGGCTGTCGACAGTAAGTTATGGCATTTTATAACCTTGTGTTGTGCACATACAGTCTTTGAAACTATATATGAGATTATTCTCCACTTGAAACATTATGTGTCTCAAAAACTGTAAAATGTCATGATAAGTCTATGGTTCCCTTTCACAGAGCAATACATAAATGTCAAGTCTTCCCTGTTGCACAAAATGATTACATTTTTCATGGATGTGTCTCATTCTGTTATTTCATGCAAATGAGTATTTCCTTCACTCGCAAAAGTCTGTCCACAATGTATTTTACTTATAAGTAAATCTTGCTGGCCTGAATCGTATAATCCTTGCTAACATCTTGTATTTCTTACCCCAAATAAATCCTATTCATAGACCCTTTCATAGCAGACATTCAGCAAGTTATTGCAGAACACAGAAATGACAGTTCCAGCTATTATTGCAATGCAGCAATTAGTAATGCTTTGAGTGAAACCTTTGTTTGAAAGGCTAGCTAGAAGTTAATATATATCATTAATTTAAAATGAAAATGTATTTAAGAGTTGAGTCAGATATTTTAGTACAATCTCTTTTTGTGTGTAGGTGCAGCAGCATGGCTCGGCCCCTCCAGCCCAGTGAAACAGAGACAAAGACACAAAGAGAGGGAGGAACGGAGAGCGGGGCTCAGAGAAGACAAATGTGACCTGGAAGAGATGACGAGAAGAATGTCGTCCTGACAGAAGAGCACCTTTGCAAGATAAAGACTCTAACTCAAAGCGAGAAATACCTGAAAATCAGCCCTCAGTGAAAGTAAAAATAGTTTCTGGTGTCATGTTTAGCTGTAATGAGTGGGTGGGACTGACAGGAAGATATCTCACTGAGGCCTCCTACTGTTCAACAGCAGTAGGGTCAGCACTTATTCTTTATAATTAAAACATTTTATGAGCCCCCCTTAAATAATGGAAATGATTGAAATTCTTGACATTATAATTATAACCCTAACACTTTTGAAAAAGGAAGGGAGCAATCACATGTCTGGAGAGAGAAATGTGCTACCTCACTGTTTAACCCATACCATGAATATGTTCCTTATAACAGCTTTTAAACCCTCTACTGCAGTGGTTCTCAACTGGTCAGGCCTCAGGACCCACTTTTTCCTTTGTCAATAAATCGCGACCCGAAATTTTGAACCACTCAAATCTATTCAACAAAAGATCGTGCTGTAATATATACGCTTTTCAGCATTAATTATTAATTAAAGTGAAGTACAGTGCATATATCCCTTCACAGAACAAAATAATGCTTTTAAATAAGGTTTATGAGATGATGGAATCAAAGCTGAACTGTATAACATAAAAAGGCAGACATGCTGAAAACCCAACCCCAGCAGGGGGGTCTGGGGGGGATTGTCCCCCAGGAGATTTTTAGAAATACTAACATATACACTACGCATTCTGGTACACTCTGAAAATAAAATAAATAAATCTATTAGTACCCGACATATTAATAATATGTTATGCCATTGTTTGTTTTTCACTTTGTTCTGACTGCTGAACTTGCTACTCCACAAAGAGAGAAGAGCAAAGAGGAGATAGTCTGTGTGACTCACTTTAAATTGTGGATAAGGGTAGATAGCTCCCATTGTTCTGTGACCTGTCAATCATCAAACCGGGGGTCATATTTCATTATGTGTTCATTTTTATTTGAAGTTGTACCCATGGATGTATAAAGAGTATAGTTCTACAGCAAAGTTATTCTCCGTGGGGACTTCCGGCAACAATCTTGATTCTGATTGGCCAGAAGACTCGAAAAAATATCAATAAAGATGTTTTATTGAGAAGATGATCACTACGTGACAGAAGTTTTCAAAACCGTTTATGGTCTCCGGTACTTCCAGTCCAACGCCTACTGCATGCACAGCGTTAGAAAATCGGACCTTCAAAATAAAAGCTTGACTTTTAAAAAAAGTTATTTCCTTCACTCACACATCTGCGACCCATTCACAACGGGTCCGCGACCCACCAGTTGAGAACCACTGCTCTACTGTATATCAAAGCGATATAGCACCATCAAACTGTCTTAAATGGTATTAAATCAAATACATAAACCTGTACCTAAAGTCTGTCCACAATGTCTTTTACTTATAAGTAAATCTTGCTGGCGTGAATCGTATAATCCTTGCTAACATCTTGTATTTCTTACCCCAAATAAATCCTATTCATAGACCCTTTCATAGCAGACATTCAGCAAGTTATTGCAGAACACATAAATGACAGTTCCAGCTATTATTGCAATGCAGCAATTAGTAATGCTTTGAGTGACACCTTTGTTTGAAAGGCTAGCTAGAAGTTAATATATATCATTAAATTAAAATTAAAATGTATTTAAGAGTTGAGTCAGACATTTTAGTACAATCTCTTTGTGTGTGTAGGTGCAGCAGCATAGCTCAGACCCTCCAGCCCAGTGAAACAGCAGGTGTTGCAGGTGTTGCAGCTGTTGCCGCCGTTGCAGCTGTTGCCGCCGTGGCAGCTGTTGCCGCCGTGGCAGCTGTTGCAGCTGTTGCCGCTGTGGCAGCTGTTGCGGCTGTTGCGGCTGTTGCAGCGGTTGCCGCTGTTGCCGCTGTGGCGGCTGTTGCAGCTGTGGCAGCTGTTGCTGCTGTTGCCGCTGTGGCAGCTGTTGCTGCTGTGGCAGCTGTTGCTGCTGTTGCCGCTGTGGCAGCTGTTGCTGCTGTTGCTGCTGTGGCGGCTGTTGCAGGTGTTGCCGCTGTGGCAGCTGTTGCCGCTGTGGCAGCTGTTGCCGCTGTGGCAGCTGTTGCCGCTGTGGCAGCTGTTGCAGGTGTTGCCGCTGTGGCAGCTGTTGCGGCTGTTGCAGCGGTTGCCGCTGTTGCAGCTGTTGCAGGTGTTGCGGCTGTTGCAGCTGTGGCGGCTGTTGCAGCTGTGGCCGCTGTGGCAGCTGTGGCGGCTGTTGCAGCTGTGGCAGCTGTTGCTGCTGTTGCCGCTGTTGCAGGTGTTGCGGCTGTTGCAGCGGTTGCCGCTGTGGCGGCTGTTGCAGCTGTGGCAGCTGTTGCTGCTGTTGCCGCTGTTGCCGCTGTGGCGGCTGTTGCTGCTGTGGCAGCTGTTGCTGCTGTTGCCACTGTGGCAGCTGTTGCCGCTGTGGCAGCTGTTGCCGCTGTTGCCGCTGTGGCAGCTGTTGCAGGTGTTGCCGCTGTGGCAGCTGTTGCGGCTGTTGCAGCGGTTGCCGCTGTTGCAGCTGTTGCAGGTGTTGCGGCTGTTGCGGCTGTTGCAGCTGTGGCGGCTGTTGCAGCTGTGGCCGCTGTGGCAGCTGTTGCCGCTGTGGCAGCTGTTGCCGCTGTTGCAGGTGTTGCAGGTGTTGCCGGTGTTGCCGCTGTTGCAGCTGTTGCCGCTGTTGCCGCTGTTGCAGGTGTTGCCGCTGTTGCCGCTGTGGCAGCTGTGGCAGCTGTTGCAGGTGTTGCCGCTGTTGCGGCTGTTGCAGGTGTTGCCGCTGTTGCCGCTGTGGCCGCTGTGGCGGCTGTTGCAGGTGTTGCCGCTGTGGCAGCTGTTGCCGCTGTTGCTGCTGTGGCAGCTGTTGCAGGTGTTGCCGCTGTGGCAGCTGTTGCGGCTGTTGCAGCGGTTGCCGCTGTTGCAGCTGTTGCAGGTGTTGCGGCTGTTGCAGCTGTGGCGGCTGTTGCAGCTGTGGCCGCTGTGGCAGCTGTTGCCGCTGTGGCAGCTGTTGCCGCTGTGGCAGCTGTTGCCGCTGTGGCAGCTGTTGCCGCTGTTGCGGCTGTGGCAGCTGTTGCAGCTGTGGCAGCTGTTGCGGCTGTTGCAGCTGTTGCCGCTGTTGCCGCTGTGGCAGCTGTTGCCACTGTGGCAGCTGTTGCAGCTGTGGCCGCTGTGGCAGCCGTTGCTGCTGTTGCCGCTGTGGCAGCTGTTGCAGGTGTTGCCGCTGTGGCAGCTGTTGCCGCTGTTGCAGCTGTGGCAGCTGTTGCCGCTGTTGCGGCTGTTGCAGCTGTTGCAGGTGTTGCCGCTGTGGCCGCTGTGGCGGCTGTGGCGGCTGTTGCAGGTGTTGCCGCTGTGGCAGCTGTTGCCGCTGTTGCCGCTGTTGCAGGTGTTGCCACTGTTGCCGCTGTGGCAGCTGTTGCCGCTGTTGCGGCTGTGGCAGCTGTTGCAGGTGTTGCCGCTGTTGCGGCTGTTGCAGCTGTTGCAGGTGTTGCCGCTGTTGCCGCTGTGGCCGCTGTGGCGGCTGTTGCAGGTGTTGCCGCTGTGGCAGCTGTTGCCGCTGTTGCTGCTGTGGCAGCTGTTGCAGGTGTTGCCGCTGTGGCAGCTGTTGCGGCTGTTGCAGCGGTTGCCGCTGTTGCAGCTGTTGCAGGTGTTGCGGCTGTTGCAGCTGTGGCGGCTGTTGCAGCTGTGGCCGCTGTGGCAGCTGTTGCCGCTGTTGCCGCTGTGGCAGCTGTTGCCGCTGTGGCAGCTGTTGCCGCTGTTGCAGCTGTGGCAGCTGTTGCGGCTGTTGCAGCTGTTGCGGCTGTTGCAGCTGTGGCAGCTGTTGCCGCTGTGGCAGCTGTTGCCGCTGTTGCCGCTGTGGCAGCTGTTGCCGCTGTTGCCGCTGTTGCGGCTGTTGCAGCTGTGGCAGCTGTGGCAGCTGTTGCTGCTGTTGCCGCTGTGGCAGCTGTTGCTGCTGTTGCAGCTGTTGCAGGTGTTGCCGCTGTGGCCGCTGTGGCGGCTGTTGCAGGTGTTGCCGCTGTGGCAGCTGTTGCCGCTGTGGCAGCTGTTGCCGCTGTTGCCGCTGTTGCAGCTGTTGCGGCTGTTGCGGCTGTTGCAGCTGTTGCGGCTGTTGCAGCGGTTGCCGCTGTTGCAGCTGTGGCGGCTGTTGCAGCTGTTGCTGCTGTTGCCGCTGTGGCAGCTGTTGCCGCTGTGGCAGCTGTTGCAGCGGTTGCCGCTGTTGCCGCTGTGGCAGCTGTTGCGGCTGTTGCGGCTGTTGCGGCTGTTGCTGCGGTTGCCGCTGTTGCCGCTGTGGCAGCTGTTGCGGCTGTTGCAGCTGTGGCGGCTGTTGCAGCTGTTGCTGCTGTTGCCGCTGTGGCAGCTGTTGCCGCTGTGGCAGCTGTTGCAGCTGTTGCCGCTGTTGCCGCTGTTGCGGCAGTTGCGGCTGTTGCAGCTGTGGCGGCTGTTGCGGCTGTGGCAGCTGTTGCCGCTGTTGCCGCTGTGGCAGCTGTTGCTGCTGTTGGCGCTGTGGCAGCTGTTGCTGCTGTTGCCGCTGTGGCAGCTGTTGCAGGTGTTGCCGCTGTGGCAGCTGTTGCCGCTGTTGCCGCTGTGGCAGCTGTTGCAGGTGTTGCGGCTGTGGCAGCTGTTGCGGCTGTTGCCGCTGTTGCCGCTGTGGCAGCTGTTGCTGCTGTTGCGGCTGTTGCAGCTGTTGCGGCTGTTGCCGCTGTGGCAGCTGTTGCCGCTGTTGCCGCTGTGGCAGCTGTAGCCCCGGTTGCTGCTGTGGCAGCTGTTGCAGGTGTTGCTGCTGTTGCCGGTGTTGCAGGTGTTGCCGGTGTTGCAGGTGTTGCCGGTGTTGCCGCTGTTGCAGGTGTTGCAGGTGTTGCCGGTGTTGCAGGTGTGGCAGCTGTTGCCGCTGTTGCAGGTGTTGCCGGTGTTGCAGGTGTTGCCGGTGTTGCAGGTGTTGCCGGTGTTGCAGGTGTTGCAGGTGTTGCCGCTGTTGCAGGTGTTGCAGGTGTTGCCGGTGTTGCAGGTGTTGCAGCTGTTGCAGGTGTTGCAGGTGTTGCCGCTGTTGCAGGTGTTGCCGGTGTTGCTGGTGTTGCAGGTGTTGCTGCTGTTGCAGGTGTTGCAGGTGTTGCCGGTGTTGCAGGTGTTGCCGGTGTTGCAGCTGTTGCAGGTGTTGCCGGTGTTGCAGGTGTTGCCGCTGTTGCAGGTGTTGCCGGTGTTGCCGCTGTTGCAGGTGTTGCCGGTGTTGCAGGTGTTGCAGCTGTTGCAGGTGTTGCAGGTGTTGCAGCTGTTGCCGGTGTTGCAGGTGTTGCCGGTGTTGCAGCTGTTGCCGGTGTTGCAGGTGTTGCCGCTGTTGCAGGTGTTGCCGGTGTTGCTGGTGTTGCAGCTGTTGCAGGTGTTGCAGCTGTTGCAGGTGTTGCTGCTGTTGCAGGTGTTGCAGGCGTTGCCGGTGTTGCAGGTGTTGCAGGTGTTGCCGCTGTTGCAG